GAAAAGCAATAGAAAAAAAATCCTCAGGTGAGGATTTAAAAAAAAAAATTGTGTCTGAGAGTCAGGAAGATTGAAGTTTGATTTCTGGATCAGCTACTTGTTAGTCCTGTAACCTTAGAAGAGTTGCCTGGCCTCTCTAAGACCCCTTGTAAAACAAGGAAAATAAAGCAGGATAGTTCTGAAACATAAATGAGATAATGTTCATTAAGCCATTAGCATGGTGCTTTGCACACATTAAGCTCTTAAAAAAATGTTAGCAATTATTGTTGTCTCTTTCTCCCACCCTCACAGCCACCCGCAGTATGTCAGATAAGGCCATGGCCAACTCAATATCCGAAGGTGGAATTTTATTCTAACCAATCTCCCATGTTCCAGATGTGAACAGGCTTCCTTCTGAGAGAAGCAGAGATGCTGAAAAGAGACTGGAATTTCCAAGAACCAGAGATCCCAAGAGAGGAATGAGGCCGAAAGCCTATGGCTGTTGGTCAGAGGGGATACAGAGGCAAAGTTGGAGGATGATTAGACAAGGCTATGGCGATGCTTTTTTTATTGGGGAGGAAAAACCTTTTCCTCTGCCCTCTTAGAACTGGAGGTCTGTGAATGAAGCTAAGAAAAGAAAGATTAATTGGAGAAAAGGCACAATTTTTATTAATATTTACCTGCAGAAAAGAAGTAAAACTCAAATAAGACGGGGTTAGACTCAGAGCCTTATACACCCTTTTAACAAAGGAAAGAGTGTTTGGGCTCCAAGGGACAATAAACTGTGGGGAAATGCCTAGGAAATACATGGGGGAAACTAATGGGAGGTAAGGGCTATTTAAGTAATGTCCATTTATGCAAATTAATCTTGGTTTTGACTCTGTCTTCAGTTATGCCCTGCTTTCAGGGAGACAAGGGGTGGCAGAGAACTCTTTCTGCCTCTGTTGATTCTCAGTTGTCTTCAAGGAAAAATAATCCTTATGCCAAAGTGCATATTTTGGGGTGGCATACTCTGATCCTCTTCACTTTGCCTTCCTCTTCAACGACAAGGGCTGAAATCTAGCAAGGCCCACAGTAGCAAAACCTCCTTCTGCCGCCATAAGGAACCTCTCAGATCCATCTCCTCGAGTGGCTCTCAGGCTCAAAGGAGCTGCAGCACCTGCCCTGTGTTTCTACATTCCCATCCCTTCAGGGCATCATCCAAGAAGGAAGCTCTAAGAAGACACTTCAAGGCCAGGGAGGAAGCCACACAAGAAGCAAATCTGGATCTCAGGTGATTAAGATCCATCCCAATTCCCTGTCAAGAGTCTATGCCTCTGGGGGTACAAATGAGCCACATTGACTTCTCTGAGAACTGCCCTCCACTAATAGGCCTGGGATCCTGCAATTACTTTAGTAGCACATGGATCTGCTTTCTTTACCCAGCTGATAGGCCAGGGATGGACTCTCAGTCCAGAAAAGCCAATCTAGAACAATCAGATTTTCCATGAATTTGGAATTGGGATAGGAGGTCATTTAGCTGAAGTTGCTGGACCTGGAAGCTTCATGCAGAGGAAGTAGGTCTGCAGAGAAAATGAAGTAGATGGTCCATGATGTCTAGGCCTTCAACAGATAGGGCTCAAAACTGGTTCCTGACTTGCCAGTTGCAGCTCACCTAAGGCCTGGCTGTACTTATGGGATTGGGTTAGGTGGCATTCCCCTTTTACTAAGTAATTCCAATGGTTCTGTTACTTGCAGTTAAAAGACCCTTGGCTAAGGCATGTTCTTTGACTCCATGGTTTGTGCAAGATCACTCAGGGCCTGAGCTACAGACCCAGACCTCTGGCTTCCATCCTGGAGTTCAGACCTTGAATAGTGAGTCTCCCAGGGGCAGCCCACCTAGATAGAATTTAGCCCATTTGGAGGGAGAGCCAGCACCATTACTCACCATCATTCCAGGGCAGGGAGTGGAATACATGGTACCCACAGATCCTCTCCCAGAAATAATAGCAATAGCTGACATTGATTGAGTGTTCATGCTGTATCAGGCACTATGCTAAGTGTTATAATTATTTCCAGTCCTCAGAACAACCTTGATTGGTTTTAAATATTTTTATGGAGATCAAAGCAAGCATAAATTCTTCATGCTTATAGGCTTTTATAGAAATAGGAAGCCAAAAAATTGCCAACCCAAACTATTAAAATTGACATAAACGTTAGTTGATATTGCCAATTAGTTTTTTAGCTGCAGTTAAATTGCTGATGTTGTATGTATTAAAAACAAAGCAAACAATAACTGTAACCCTTTAAGTTAGGTATTCCTATTGGCATCCCCACTGTAGGTTAGGAAATAGTGGCTTAGAGGGGTAAAGAATACTTCCCAAGATCAAGCAGCTGAGCGTTATAATCAACCAGAATAACTAATGAGTCCCAGTTCCCGAAACTGGAGGCCCAGCTGCCAGAGTCCTGGGCTGCCTCTTCACTGAAATGGTGGCTCCTGAATGGGTAGGGACAGATCTTGAAAAATACAGCCTGGCACAGAGCAAATGCTTGTTAAAGGTTTGTTGACTACTGAATGATTGAATGAGTGAATTTGAAGATAGTTGTTTAAAAGACAGTGTGCTCCACCCCAACTATGCAGAGGCCTACAATTCAGTACCTTCCACGTATCACTGCAGCCAGCAGCCCTTCCCACCTCATTACCCAGAAGCTAGTCTAATGGCATTAACCATCCCAGCCAGCCAGGATACCATTAAAAGCTCAGTCCAGCCACCGTGCTCCCACCCCCGGTCTTGGCTCTGGGCCCTGGGCTAGGAGAGTGGTCTGGTTGTTTACCAGGAATTTGGACCTTCTTCAGAGAAAAGCACAGATGACCTATTAGTGTAATTCAAGCACTTAGCAAGGAATGACTGTACCATTCACACCCCAGCCCTAGGCTAATGGAGCCAAAGCAAATGGAGAGGCCTTGAGGGCTCAGAGATCTTCCTGGGAGGGGAAGAAAGGGAAGGTCCAGCCAGTGCCCCCCTGGAGTTTGCAGGGAGGCAGGTTGTTTGGGTATTTCCTGGAGCAGAGTGGCCTATGGGGATACCAGAATGTACAGGGAGAGGCTTCCCTATTCCACCCACCACCCTGGCAGCCCCTCTGCACATCCTACCCCCAGTCACCTCCTCATTGCCTTAAGACTTGGGCCCTAGCTGGTTTGTTCAGTGGTTAGAGCATTGGCCCACCAACTGAAGGGTCTTGGGTTCGATTCCTATCAAGAGCACATACCTTGGTTGTGGGCTTGATCCCCAGCTCCAGTTGGGGCGCTTGTGGGAGGCAACCAATCGATGTGTTACTCTCACACCGATGTCTCTCTTTCTCCCTCTCTCTCTCTCTCTCCCTCCCACTCTCTCTGAAGAGCAATGGAAAAAATATCCTTGGGTGACAATAAAAAAAAAAATTGGGTGGAGAAAACTGGGAACACAAACAAATGCCCATCAATACAGAACTCATTAAATAAACTACACGTATAGAAATATGAATTCATACAAGTCCATGTTGTGCAGCTGATAAAAAGCTGATAAAAATGAGGAAGTAGCCCGAGCTCTACTAATGGATGCTGAAAGGTGCTATGATTTACACTTTGATATGCAGTGTCTGCTTCTACTTATGTAAAAATTATACGTACCTATAGATTCTCGTGTGCACAGATATGCAGGGAGCCGGTTTGGAAGTTTGACAGTGAGACTTTAAAGGTTTTTAATTTCTTCTTGATAGTTATATCACCCAAAATTCTCTACAAAAACCTTATAATTGCTAACTTTTTTGAGTTCTTACTATGTGTTAGTCACAATGCAACCCAGTCACGTGCCCTTACTGGGAATCGAACCAGTGACCTCTTGGTTCATGGGTCGATGCTCAACCACTGAGCCACACCAGCCAGGCTACACACTGCATTTTTTTTATTGACTATCTTGTCTGTTCCTCTGCTCTGGTGTGTGAAAGGCTTGAAAATAGGATCTGAGTATTATTACCTTGGAATCTTCTGCACTTAGCACAGTGCCTTGCAGCCAGCACTCATCAGGTGCTTATGGAAAGAGTGAATGAGTTAATAGACAAATGTCCACAGCTCTGTAAATATATTCTTCCAACTTCCTTGCATTACGTGGCTGTTTCCTTATCCCAAGAGGATTGCCAGTTAGATCAGACCAGTAACACAAGCAGGTGCTCAATAAATGCTGTGGTTGAGTAAGGACCTTGCCCTCTGCTGTGGCAAATCCCAGGCAGTATCCCAGGAATGGCTGGAGCTTGAACAGATACAGGTCCTCAGCCTCACATAAGCTTTTTTTTTTTTTTTTCCAACTCCATGTCAAGCACACAGAGAGGCTGAGAGACTTGCTTGAGGCCACACAGCAGTTGGTGGCAGAGTTGATGTGTCTCCTGATCACTGGTCTGTGCTCTTCCGTCTGTAAAATCTCTAGTTCTGTATAAATTCACAATGTTAGAAAATAGAAAAAGAGCAAAGTTTTAAGTTAAAATGTTTAATTATGATCCAAGAGGTTGGGGGGACATTGAGACAGTAGCAGGAAGAAATCAAGGCCGAAATGCTCTGGCCCCTGATGCTCAAATGCTCTGTAGGATCTCAGGGCAGGGCAGGCAGCAGGTTCCCATCCTCTGTCCAGAGGAGACAAGGGGGCAGGATTCTTGCTCTGGCCTTCCTAAGAGGGAATGTGTTTCTAAGCTGCCTCAGAACACCCAGTCCTGACTACCTGGAGGAGGCAATAGAGTATGACTGATCTGTTAGAACCTGGTGATCCTGGTAGGAAGGGATCAGGAGAGAGTTTAGTAGAGTCAGTCACCACCAGAAGATATGGCTGCCTGGCCGGGCGTGGCTCAGAGGTTGAACGTTGACCTAGGACCCAGGCGATCGATTGGGGTTTGATTCCTGATCAGGGCACATGCCCGGGTTGCCGGCTCCATCCCCAGTCCGGGGCATGTGGGAGGCAGCTGATCAATGACTCTCTCATCATTGATGTTTCTATCTCTCTCCCTCTCCTTTCCTCTCTCTGAAATCAATAAAGATATATTAAAAAAAATAATAAAATGCCTAAAAAAAAAGAAAAAGATATGGCTAACCAGGGTGACCAGTTTCTAAGGAGGGGCAGCCCAAGTCTGAAGTGGAGGGAATGGGAACTTAGCCAGTCAGCTTCTACTGTGTGAATGTGCAGTGGTGGGGGCGTCAGGGTTGTTATGTGGTGTACTGCACCTCCTTCTTGATGCTGTCCTTTCTTCACTTCTTGTAGGCAGCAGGTCAGGCTGGGTATAGTAGGAAGGAAGAGGGCCCCCAGGGAAGTCCAGCTACCAGAAACTTGGGAGCAGAATCAAGGTAAGTGTGCAGGAGAAAAGAGAGGGCATCCAGGGCCGTGGCCTCAGAGCAGGGTTTGTGTTCTGTGGAAGAAATGTAATGGAGTCAGCTCCACCCACTTCACCACCTCAGCCTCAGTCAAGGCCTATTCCCTTCCCCTAAGGTGTCCATTAGAGGTCTAGAGTATTGGTGACAACAAGGAGGTCACCGCCTCCATCCCCCTGTCTGCCTTTTCTGGGATTCCCCCAGATGGTTCAGTAAAGGTATGCGGAGTGCCATAGCGGGGGCCTTACCTGGCGTTCCATCACGGGTAAGGTAGAGTCCGCTGGGTCCTGGGAGAAGAGTTGGCTATGCAAACGCATCTTAACTGCAATGGCCTCCACTGAGGAGAAAAGAGAAGGAAGTCTGGAAGTGTACAGATGCTGGAGACTTCTCAGGCTCCCAAAGAAGGAAAGGGAATGTCTCAGGGACCCTGGGATATAGGAGGGTAGACCGGTGGCAGGTGGGAACGGGATATTGCCTCATTCTGCTTGTTTATTCCTTGGGCTGAACAGTGTACAGTGTCCCTGGGGCCCAGACAGTGTGAACAGGCAGCTTGGAGGTCACTCAGGGAGCAGGAGGAGGAAGAAAGGCCCAGGCTGGGGGATATAAGCCTTTTCTGCGGAGAGGGCTGCTCTGTCTGCAGGAGATAGACAGAGCTGACCCTTTTCCTCTTCCTGCATCCAGATGACCTGGCCACTGGGGAAGGAGTAGAAGGAGCACACTCACTGAGACAGGGGTTGTGGGAAAAAGACTCTTCCAGCCGCTCACACTCCTCCTGCAGGTTGCCACTGCCTCGGCAGGTACAGCTTAAGGCAACACTGGCATTGACGTTGCTGACGAAGTTGGGGGTCATAGCAGTTCCTGTGGGGTGAAAAGGGGATTGTCAGGGCCTAGGGCAACCCCAACTCCAGCTCCTACCCTCTCCCACCTGTCTCAGGAGCACTCCATCTGCATTCAGTAGCCAGAGCATTCTTACCCCAAGGCCAACCTGTGGGCTCCCAGCACATATCCCCTAGCCTCACCAATCAGCCCCATGTACGCTTGCAGACATCTGGACTGCTCCGTAGCACAGGTCCCTAGGATGTCCATGGGATGGCAGTGGGTCTGAAAATCGGCCAGGCGTGATCTGGAAGAAGGAAAAGTCAAAAGTTTCTTTTAAGAGTCTGGCCTTAAAAGCCTTCACCTTTGCTGCCCCTTTAATTGACATTCCCCTTTAGGATCTTCATGCCAAATCCTCCTCTGCCTTTATAGCCTGGCCCAGTGAAGACTGCTCCTGTCACAATTAAATGCACTGTCACCTCAGTCCCCACAGCATATCACTCTGAATTTGGGCTCCACAATCTCTAGTTATAAGATTTCAGGCAGCTTCTTCAACCTCAGTTTCCTTGACTATAAATAGAGATCGTCCCCACTCAGACGCAAACTCCTCAAAGGAAGAAACATCTAGGCATTAGATGAACATCTTTATCATCTAGGCCAGCACTGCTTGTTATGTAACAGTAATAGCTACCAGCACAATAACAGGCATTAAGGAAGGGAGCTTAGAAGCACAGTCTCCAGGCCAGACTTCATTCCAAACCTTATTAACAAACCTGACTTACTACCTAAGTGAACTTGACCATGTTCTTTAAACTTTCTCTGCTGTGGCTTCTTCATTTTTAAACTGAGGATGATAAAAAATAAAAATAGCATCTAGCTTACAGGGTTCTTGTGAGGTTTAGATGAGTTAATTAATACATGGTAAATATGAAAACAATATCTAGCCCACAGTAAGTGCTCGGTAAGGGTTAGTATTATGATTATCGAGAGCTCTGACTATGTTATATTTTGCAGAAGAGAAAGTGGAATTCGGAGGTTAAATAACTTGCCCAAGGTTATAGAGAAGTAAGCGGTAGAACCAGGTTGCAAGGCAAAGTTGGTGTGACTCCACTGTCAACAAATGTCACTTGAATGGCTAATAGCTTCAATTAGGTGAGTGTTTTGTCCCGAGAAGGCAGAGGAAAGCCAGATCAGAATTTGGCTGGAGAATATATATCAAACACCTTGCAGATCTTCACGCCCTTTGATTTCTACTTGAAGCAACACATCCTAATCAATAATTAGATTTGTGCACAAAAATTAATAAATAAGAGCGATGCTTATGAAGCATTATTTAGAAAACAACCTAAATATTCAACAATAAAGAATGATTAAATAAAGTATGGGGCATCCATAAAAATGGAGTACGGTGTAGGCTCTTAAAAATCAAGTTGTCAAAGAACAGTAGATGATAAAATAAGCACCACCATTTATTGAGCACTTACTTTGCACCAGCAAGTTAAGCACTGTACATACATTATGTACTTTAACTCTCACCAAAATCCTGTGAGGCCTGCATTATTATCTGTATTTACAGAGGACTAAGTGGAAACCTGGGTTAAGTGATAGAATTGTAGGTTAAGTGATGGGCTCAAGGTCACAGAGGCCCAGGACTTCAATTCAGATCTGACTTCAGAGCCTGTCTTCACCACTATTCCATACTGCCTCCACTGGAAAATGCTCATAAGATATGTACCATAAATGAAAAAAAGATACAGGATATATATTCCCAGAATATCAAATTTTGTTTATCCATATACAAGAATGACTAGAAGAAAATGCTCTCCAAATATTGGCAGATTATTGGCAGGTGATGGGTTTTGAGTGATATTTTTATACATTTTTATATTTTCTGAAAATGTTTTACACAAGTATTTTACTATCTATTCTTGTTGAGAAATGAGTTTCATAAAATATGGAAGGATAGTTACATTGTTAAGTCCATCCACAGTCCCTGGGGAGTCAGACCCAGCCCTGCCCCAAGGCGGCCTGGAGGGAAGGGTGCGCACTGTGTCCCTGTGTACCCCGCCCACCCGCACCCAGCCCCCGCACTTGCACAGCAGGTCTGAGAGGCAGAGGCGCCGCAGATCCAGACAGTTGGGGGTCCCAGGGGGCAGAGCGCAGCTGGGGGCGATGGTGTTGCGCCGGCGCTGCCCGCAGCGCAGGTCGGAAGGCGCGCACGGGCACAGCAGCAGGCCCTGCGCATGGGGCTCCGACGCCTTCTCGAAGAAAGCACGAAGCTGCTGCAGGCAGTTGTGGCGCTGGCAGTGGAGCCCGGAGGAGCAGGCCTCCCCATAGGCCTTGCGCAGCCGGTCACACTTGTCATTAAGAGTGCACAGCATGGCGAACTTGAGGCAGAGGTCTGAGTCTGTGGGAAGAGCGGCACCAAGCCATCAGTCCTGCAAACCCAGCTTCCCTAGGAACCCCCGCAACACTCTGATTTCTTTTTTTTTTTCCAGAGAGAGAGACAGAGAGAGAGAGAGAAACATCTATCAATTGGTTACCCCCACGTGCCCCAACCCAGGTCGGGGATGGAGCCTGCAACCGAGGCACGTGCCCTTGTCCGGAATGGAACCCAGGACCCTTCAGTCCGCCGGGCCAAAGCTCTAACCACTGAGCCAAACCTGCCAGGGCAACCCTCTGATTTAACAAGCATGGTAGTGCGGGTAGGAAAAAAGGGGCTGCCCTGAGTAAACCCCTCCTAATTCAGGGCTTTTCCACTGCGCATGAACGATATCTGGTATTCGGGATATCTGGTATTTCCCATTCTACTCCTCAGCTTGACTAGGTTAAAAAAAATAAAAAATAAAAAAGCCCTGACTGGTTTTGCTTAGTGGGTAAAGCGCCTACCCGCGGACTGAAGGGTCCGGTTGCAAGCTCAATCCCCAGGCTAAATCGTGCACGTGCAGGAGACAGCCAATTGACATGTCTCTCTCACATCAATGTTTCTCTTTCCCTCTCCCTCCCTTCCACTCTCTCTGAAAAGCAATGGAAAGAATATCCTCAGCTGAGGATTAAGGGGGGAAAAAAAGTGCCCGGTTGAGCATAGACCTATGATCCACGAGACCCAGGTTGGATTCCAGGCAGGGCCCATGCCCAGGCGCAGGGTCCATCTCCAGTAGGGGGCGTGCAGGAGGCAGCCGGCCAAAGACACTCTCTCGTCACTGATGTTTCCATCTCTCTCCCTCTCCCTTCCTTGCTCTGAAATCAATAAAGACATTAAAAAAAAGTCATGTACACCTAAAGCTAATTTATCTAGAATTCAAGCAGCCAGAAATCTCAAATCACCAAAGCCCTTTCCTCAACCCTGTGCATTGAATGAGATCTCGGGGTGGAAAGAAGCTAGCAGCCCTACAACAATTTAAAGCACTTTCTGAACTGTCTGACAAATACAACCAGATTCTACTTAGGATTTTTGTTTTGTTTTATATCTGTCTATTCCACTCAATATTAATATCACCTGCATGTCTTTCATTGGTTGACGCATACATAAAAGTTTCCCATACTCTTGAGTCTTAGGAAATTATGGTGATATTTCTATTAACAGAATATTCCAGCAGTCAAAACATGGCATAACTGGAACAGGTAAATTCCTGGATTTCTTGTCACTAAGAGTTTATAAACCTATAGGCTTTTCTCTCAAAATTCTAATATATTGGACTATATAACAAAACTCACATCTTTCTCAAAAAGAGTGTATGTGTGTGCATTCCCTTTCAATGAACACAACTGCTTCATTTTCCTGAAAAACATGCATCATAGTCCTTGCCAGACAGATGGCTCCCCACCCTGAGCACCCCTAAGGAGTCATGCTCTCTCTAACCATTTTTCCCTGCCCAGCACCACGCCTATCCCATTAGAATGGTTGAAAACAAGCAATTTCCTATACTTCAGGGACAAAAAAAACTTTTTTTTTTTTTTTTTTTTTTTAGAGAAAGAGGAAGGGAGAGCAAGAGAAAGATGGATTTGTTGTTCCACTTATTTATGCATTCATTGGTTGATTCTTGTATGTGCCCTGACCAGGGATCAAACCCACATCCTTGGTGTATCATGACGATGCTCTAACCAACTGAGCTACCTAGCCAGGGCAAAAACCTACTTTTGTGGCTGCCTCAAATGAGGGTAAATACTCCATTTCAAAACATTTTTTTTCTGGGACTGTGGACACTCCCACAAACCTTTTACAGAGACCTGCCTTTTGGAACCAAGGAGCCCTAATGGGCTCTCTTTGTTGTTGTTGTTTTTCAATCCTCACACCGGGATATTTTTTCCATTGCTTTTCAGAGAGAGTGGAAGGGGGAAGAGAGAGAGAAACATCAATGTGAGAGAGATACATTAATTGGTTGCCTCCCATACATGCCCCCATGGAGGCCAGGGATCGAGCCTGCAACCCAGGTATGTGCCCTTGACCGGAATTGAACCCAGGACTCCTCAGTCTGCAGGCCAACACTCTAACCACTGAGTCAAACTGGCTAGGGCTCTAATGGGCTCTCTTTGAATGCCTCCCTAATAACTATTGCTCTCTGATGACTCTTGTGAGACCAGACCATGCCCCACAACTCAGGCTCCCACCCTACACAATACTGCTTTAGTTACCTGGCAGGTAAGGCCTCTTCCCTCACAAGCCCCCCAGCTTGTGTTCCCCACCAGGGCCCAGGCCCAGCCCCCAAAATACAGTCTCTGCTTGCCCTGCACACCTGGTTTGAGCATGTTCAGTTTGCTGAGATTCATTTTCCAGGGTTTTCTGGTCACCGTGTCTTCATAGGGGGAGACATCCGGCTCATAGTCACCTAGAGACAAGGTGGGGAGCACCAGAGTCCTGAGGACTGGGCTGGGGGCGGGAGCAGGAGGGGCTGAGGCTGCCGAGTCAGGCCTCAAAGCCCCGTGGAGAAAAGGAAAACAGTCTCTTCCTCACTAGCTGTAAGCTGTGCAGAAGTGGGGAAAAAGCAGGACCATAAAGGTATAGGGTGGGCTTGAAGAATAAACTAGGTTTAATGATAAGAATAGTATGTTGAGCATACTGTACGCTGGGGACTATGGTATAAGTGGAAAAAAAAATATATATATATATATATATACACACACATATATTCCGTTATATAGTTTATCTCATTTAGTCCTGCTAAGAAGGCTTTGGGCAGGTAAGAAGAAACAGGATGAGAGAAGTTAAGTTACTCGCTCAGGCTCACATAAGCTAAGAAGTGGAGCTGGGATTTGAAACCTAGACTATCTGGTTGCAAAATCTCTGCTCTTAACCAGTAGATATATAGCCTGAGGGTCCATGAGCAGGCAATGGGACTCTGCCCTGTTTTCTCTTCCTGTTGGAGAAGGGGCAGTGGTAGACTGTTCCAGGCCTGACCATCTGGCTATGGAGAAGTGCATGCTGAGGAGATGGCAGTGAGGCCAGGTCCCAAATTGAACCTGAGGGAGAAAAGCAGAGAAGAAACAGTGATCTTGAAGGAAACACATCTCAGTCACCCCTATGGAGCTGTGGGCTCCTTAAGGGGGCTTACTGGGTCTTACCAAATCACTGCATAGTTCATATACATGGTAGATACGCAGTAAATGTTGGTTAATAAATTTTGCTGGAAGAGAGAGAGGTGAGCTTGCAGGCTTGTCCCCCATTAAGCCTCTGTGAATGCATCTTTAGGAGGCAAGGGATATGGATGATGTTAGGCAAACAGGAGAGGATAGTTTGGATACTTGGAAAGACCTGGTATTTCAAAGGGAAAAGGGGAGGCGAGAGGATTCCAGAAGTCTCAGGGGAAGTTCTGAAACAGAAGGGGTTAGGATGAGGAGTGGAAAGCAGGAAACAGGGAGTGTGATAAATTGTATTACTGTTTCCAGTTACTTGCTATCCGCCCTGGGGGAAGATTATACACCTCCACCTATTGCCATGTGACTTTCCCGTGGCCCCCATCCCACTGCCAGGCTTGGCCATGTGACTTGCTTTGGCCTCTGCATTGTAAGCTGAAGTGATGTAAACCACATCTGAGCAGAAGATTTAAGAACCATCACCTGGTTCTGCTGTTGCTCTCCTTCCTCTGCCAGCCTGGAGCCCTGAACAAGTAGGACAGGTAGAGCAAAGACAAAGCCAACTCATGGAAGCCTGCAGCGGACATGTAACATGAGCAAGAAATACATTTTTGTTGTTGAAAGCCAGAGATTTAGGGATTGGTTGGTTGTTGCTGCAGCATAACCTAGCAAATTCTTATTAAAAATGCAATTGGTATCTGGAAGTGGAGTGCTGCAGGAATAAAAAAAAGTCTAATCTATGGTATTGGCTTTGGGACTGAGCAGTGGGTGGTGAACTTGGAAGAAAGATGATGTACTGAATGATCTTGTGCTTTGAGAGGAGAAGCTAAGAAGCGGAAGATAACTAGTATGTCTTCATTGCTATTGGCTGCATTTGGCAAGGAAGATATAAGCTCAGAGAAGAACTGGCCAGTTTGTAAATAGTGAGGAAACAGAAAAGGGAGAAATCAGAAATTCCAGGACTTGAAGGATTAAGCGTTGCAACTGCTTCTCATATTCAAATGGTAAAAGATAAAATCGAAACATGCTTAGAGTATTAAAGTCTATATTACAACTCAGCCTAGGAGCAAAGACCAAATCAAGTTTGTGGTTATCATGCCCTTTGTAGGGATCTCTCATTGATTACGATGGTGTCCAATAAAGCCTGCCAGTTAGACAAATGAGCTCAATGTACTGAATGATCTTGTGCTTTGAATAAGGTAGAATAAAGTAGTGGCTCTCCCACAGAAGCCTGATAAGGGCAAGGTACTGCTAATTCAGTCTAGAAAGAGATGCATGTTTTGAAAAGAGGTGACAGAAATCAAAGTATAAAAACAAATTACGTTTTGAGAGAGATGAACTGCTAAGAGCCATCAGTTTGGATTAAAAAAGACTCTTTGAGACTTAAACATTCCTCAGATAGGAAGCAAGCTGAGAATGCTGCCCAGCCCCCAAGGAGGTCAGAGTTTCCACGCCCTTTTCAGATGTTGCCAAAGAAAATACAGCAGGTCTTTGAATAATGTCATTTAGTTCTACGATGTTTCATTGTGACCTTGAAGAGGGGAAAAAATTGATTCCCCTCAGAGCAACTGTCTGTATGGAGTTTGCACATCTCCCTATGTCTGCGTGGGTTTTCTCTGGGTACTCCGGTTTCCTCCCCCATCCCAAATATGTGCATGTTAGCTTAAAGTCACAGTTTTCAAGAATTTATCGATGACATTAAGTGAGGACTTACTATAATGGAAAAGGAAGGATCTCCCAGGGAGCCGGAGAACAATAAATAGATCAACTCTCCCATGGAGCAAGAACATTCCCTGCTCCCGAGGAAGATGGCCCTGTGATACTTGCTAGCAGGACTTCAGAGCTGCTATGAATCAATGTCTGCTGCATGCCTCCCATTCCTCCCCTTTCTTACTGACAGCGTTTGTTCTGGTTTTCCTGTCCCTGTTCCATTACTGTATTTTGAGTATGTATGGGAGGAAGATAACTTGTTGTTTTAGTCCGTAAATTTCTAGATCAAGAGGAGCCACACCCAGACCTAATATAGAAATAATCACGAGATCCTAGACTTGGAGCCTGATGTCATGTTTGGATAGAACTCCTGGGGCATGTTCCTTGGGAAGTGTATAGGTATATTTTGCTTGTGGAAGGGAGGAAAATGAATATTTTGACAAAGTGGTGGACTATAGAGGTTGTATTGTTTCCAGTTAATTTTGCCCTCACTGTAAGATTATATATCCTCACTTATTGCCATGTGATTTTCAATGTCTCCCTGCGGGAGGAGTATACTTCCCTTCCCCAGTGATGTCAGGCTTGTCCGCCATGCAATTTGCTTTGTCAGTGGAGTGTGAGAAGTATTTTGTGTAACACCTGAGCAGGAGATTTTAAAGCTATAACATGTTCCTGCCATTGTTCATTTCCCTCTGCTATAAGAAGGGAACATCCCATATAGAGCTATTCCTTCAGCGTGGATCCCAGAATGAAGGGGACACATGAAACAGCCAACATGGAACATGAACAAGAAGTAAACCTTTGTTTTGCAAGTTATTTGTTTTACAAGTAAACCTTTGTTACTACAGCATAGTCCAGTAAGAGCTGACTAATACAGAGAGTCAGAGGAAGCTCTTCTCTTTGGCTCTTCAGTGCCGTCTCTCTTTTACCATCTACTGCCTGGCTAATGGGTATCCTTTCTGTTAAAGCTGGACCAGTACACTGACTACCAGTCTCTGAATTTATGGATTGCATTGTATTTGGAGCCTGTTTATAAGGTAAGACCATTTTTCTCCATCTCCTCTCCATATCCTTCTGTTCCAGCAGCTCCCCAGGCTGGGCCTCAGTCTGGTTCAGATCTCTGCCAAGAGGCAGCTACATGTTGTCAGGTAAGAGAGCAGGAAGTAGGGAGATGAGAGGGCAATGTTGGGGGACCCAAAAGGATACTCCAGTCCCTCCCTCCACTTCTTACTGATGTCACCTGCAGAGCTTCATTATCATCCCTCTCAGGATCTACCACATTGTTCACATGCTGAAGGATTAAAAAACAACTAAGAGCCATCTTCCCTAGCTTAATCCACTCTAGGATGGGGACCTCACCAAGGCTGCGGGCAGGGTGAACGGTCCAGTAGATTTCCAGGCAGACAGTTTGGTTCTTCATGCGCCGGTGGCACGTGCAGCTCATCAGAGAGCTGTTCCTGAGGTGCTGTGCTGCCTCCAAGCAGTCTGCAGAAACGGAAGGCACCTCTGCAGGTGATGGGGTGCTTATACTAGAAGTGCAGGAACTCAAGTGGTGGTGGTAAGCAGCATTGCAAGTGGGATCGGCCTGGCATTTCCTCCTGGCCTGGATACAGCTGTTCATAAGCCGGCCCTCTGTGGGGAGAGGGTCCCCTGTGGAGGGAGAGAGACCAAGTGAGGCTCACATAAGGTCAAAGTAGCTGCCTGGGAGTACCAAGTCCTCAGATAAGGGGGGGATTCAGGTGAAGCCTTGATCAGGTAAGTCTTGGGATAGCACAAAGGCCTTTAGGAATAAGTGTGGGGAGAAGGAAGCCCTGCAGGAGTGAACAGATCAGGCCCAACAAGAGGTGGGGGTCTGAAGAGACGCTGCTCAGCCTCCTGGGAGGGGAAGGAGGACAGTTGTTTAAAGCTGACCTTGATGACCCTGCCAGGCATAGGGAGGAGGGCCCTGCGTAGAGCTATGCCCTGGGTAGGGCTAGCATCATAACCAGAGAGTTGAGAATGTGCATGGGCATGCTAAATGAGAGTTAGCAATAATTCTGAGTCACTTAAAATACCTTACAGTGGAAACTGGTTGGGGTTAGGGTGGGGAGCTTTTGCTGATTCTGTCACTCACTCAGGAATACCAAGGCTGGTCATAGCTCAACTCTGGAAGAAGACCCTGCATCCTAGGACTTAGGGTCCCTACCAAGGGATAGCAGAACATCATCATACCCCCAGTTTTTCAAGGCAAAACATGTAGGAGTCATTTTTAATTCTTCTTTCCTTCACATGCTATGTTCAATCTAACAAGTCCTGTCAACTCCACAGCATATCTGGAATCCGTCCACTTCTTTCCACAGCAATTACTGCCTCCTTTGCTCTAGTCTCCATTAACTCTTGTCTGAACTACTGCCAAGACTCCTGATTGGTCTCCCTGATTTCATCTTCCAAATTCATTCTCCCAAACCACTCACCTACCCTTTTTTGTTTTCCAGCTTTTTTGAGATATAAGTGACACATAACATTGTGTGTTTTAGGTGTACCACGTGATGATTTGATACACATATATACTGTGAAATGATTACCACAATAAGATTAGTTAGCGTATCCTTCACCTCACACAATTACTATTTTATTGTTGTAGCTATTTTTTTTTAACATATGTCTTTATTGATTTCAGAGAGAGGAAGGGAGAGGGAGAGAGAGAGAAACATCAATGATGAGTCATTGATCGGCTGCCTCCTGCATGCCCCCTACTGGGGATCTAGCTCAAAACCCCAGCATTTGCCCTGACCGGGGATCAAATCTTGATCTCCTGGATCATAGGTCAATGCTCAACCACTGAGCCATGCCAGCCGGGCGCAGCCACATTTTTTAATGAAATTTTTTAATTGGAAAACTTTTACTGAAATAAAATTCATCCTACATAAAATTAACCACCTTAAAGGTTACAATTAAGTGGCATTTAGTACATTTAAGATTGTTGTAAACCATCACCTCCTTCTAATTTCAATCCATTTTTATCACCCACACCCATTAATCACATTTTACCTTCCTCCTAGTTTCAGCAACCACTAAACTGCTTTCTGTTTCTACAGATTTTCCTAGGTATTTTATGTAAATGGAATCATAAAATATTTAATCTTTTATATCCGGTTTCTTTCACCTCACATACTGTTTTTTGAGGTTCATTCATATTGTAGCATATATCAGTCATTCATTCTATTTTATGGATGAATAATATTTCATTGTATGGATATACAACATTTTGTTTATCCATACATCAGTTGACAGACATTTGAGTTGTTTCCTTTTGGTTACTGTGAATAGTGCTGTTGTAAACATTCCTGTACAAATATTTGCTTGAATACTTGTGTTCAGTTCTTTTGGGTGTATACCTAGGAGTGGAATGCTGGGTCATATGGTAATTCTATATTTAACTTTTTGAGAAACTGCCAAATTATTTTCCATAGTGGCTGCACCATTTTACATTCCCACTAGTAATATACAAGGATTCCATTTTCCCTATATACTTGCCAACTCTTGTTTATTTTATTTTTTAAATAGCTATCCTGATGGGTATGAAGTGGTTTCTCATTGTGGTTTTCATTTGCATTTCCCTAATAACTAATAATGTTGAGCATATTTTCATTGTAGCCATTTGTATATCATGTTTGGTAATAAATTTTTTATTGAAGCATAACACACAGAAAAGTGCATGAATAAAAAATGTACAGTTTAATGAACTTCAAACTGAATACACCTGTGTAACCAGACCCCAGGTGAAGAACCAGAACATTACCAGCACCCCAGAAGCCCTCTGCCAGTCACCCGCCCCCCCAAGGAAATCAGCATCTTCATTTCTTTCCTTTTCTTTCTTTTTTTTAATAACTTTTTTTTTTAATCCTCACCAGAGGATATATTTTGTTTTTTTAAAAGTGATTTTAGAGAGAGGGGGAGGGAGAGAGAGAAAAGAGAGAGAAAAACATCAATCAGCTGCCTCCCACACATGCCCTGACCAGGGATCAAGCCCACAACCTGGGTACGTGCACTGACAGGGAATCAAACCCGAAACCCTTTGGTGCATGGAATAACTCTCCGACCAATTGAGGCACCGGGCCAGGGCTAACATCTTCATTTCTAACATTAGAGATTAATTTTGCCTGTTTTTCAGTCATATAGCGTGTGCTTTTGGTATCTTGGTTTCTGTAGCTCAATATGTTTATGAAATTCACCCACACTGTTAAGTATACTTGTAAATAGCTTATTTTCGTTGCTATATAGGATTCCATGTATGAATGTAACATAATTCTTTTAATTTATTTTATTATTATTATTTTTAAAATATATATATTTATTGATTTCAGAGAAAGGAAGGGAGAGGGACAGAGAGAGTTGAAACATCAATAATGAGAGAGTCATTGATCAGCCGCCTCCTGCACATCCCCGACTGGGGATCGAGCCCGCCACCTGGGCATGTGCCCTGACTGGGAATCGAACCTCGATCCCCTGGATCTTAGGTTGATGCTCAACCTCTGAGCCATGCCCGGCCGGGCTTATTATTTTTTATTTTCACCCAAGGGTATTTTTTCCATTGTTTTTCAGAGAGAGTGGGAGAAAGGGAGATATCAATGTGAGAGAGACACATCGATTGGTTGCCTCCCAAACACGCCTCGACGGGGCCTGGATTGAGCCTGCAACCAAGGTACGTGTCTTTGGCCACAATCAAACCTGGGAGCCTTCAGTCCCAGGGCTGACGCTTTAACCACTGAGCAAAATCAGCCAGGGATTTATTTTATTTTATTTATGTTTTAACTTATCTTTATTATTGAAAGTGTAACAGATGCCCCTTTTTCCCCCCATTGACTCCCTCCACCCCACCCCCACCCCCAAATGCAACATAATTCTAATGCTGATTGGAATTACATAGGATCATCTCATTTCTCTGCTTAGACCCCTCCAACTGCTTCCATTGCACTTAGGTTAAGATCTAGTTTATGTACCCTGGTTTACAAAGCCTTGTAAGACCCCGTCCCTGCCCACTTCTTTAACCTCACCTCCTAGTTTTCTTTTCCTCTCCCACTTCCCTCCATCTACATTGACCTTTTTCTCTGGTTGCCATTGGACAAGACAAGCTTGTGTCCACCTTGGGGTTTTTGCCCAAGCCTTTCTTTCTGCTTGGAATGTTTTTGCCTCTGCTCTTCACATGGCTGTTCCCTTCGGGTCATTCAGTTTGCAGTTTATTTTATTTTAGTTTTGAAGATTTTCTATTGATTTTTAGAGAGAGAGGAAGGGAGAGGGTGAGAAAGAAACACTGATATGTGAGAGAAACATTGATTGGCTGCCCCCTACTGGGGAATGAGCCCACAACCCCGGGCATGTGCCCTGACTGGGAATTGAACCAGCAACCTTTTGGTACATGGGATGATGCTCAACCAACTGAGCCACACTGGCCAGGGCCAGTTTGCACTTTAAATGTCATCTCAGAAAGGCCATTCCCAACCAATCAATGTAAAATAACCCCCTAGCTGCTCTAACACATTATTACTTCAATTATCTGCATAGCACTTGATTTCTGATTATCTCCCCATCTAGACTTCCACGTTTATCTTATCACTACTCTGTCACCAGTGCCTATTCTTTATGAGCTCCTTCTAGTCAAGAAATAACCAGATAACAGAGACAGTCTGTGACCTACCTCTATAACTTCTCTGGGTCCCTTCCCTCTTATAATCAGAGTCCCAAAGTAGGAGGGGCCTCAGAGTTTAGTTAGTCCAACCTCCTCTTCCAACCACATAAAAAATCAATTAGATTCCTTATTAAAATGCAGATTTCTGAGCCCGATCCCAGAATTACTGATTCAGAATCTCTAGTGCTGAAGCCTGGAAATCCAAATTTAAAAAAAAACTTTAATTCTCATCCTAAATTTTAATGATTTTTAGAGAGGAAGGGAGAGAGAGGGAGAAACTTCTATGTGAGAGAGAACCATCGACTGCTTGCTGCCTTATGAGCCCGACCAGGGATCAAAACCGCACCTAGGTATGTGCCCTGACTGGGAATAGAACCAGCAACCTTTTGGTGTACAGGATGACTTTTCAACCAAGTGAGCCACCTGGCCAGGGTGGGAATCCGAATTTTAGCAAGTTTCACTGGAGAGTAATATGCACCTTATAGTTTAAGAATCGGTGTTATATCCAGTGCATAAAGACAGGATTAGTATTACTGATTTTTCCTTTGGCTTCAACCCCCAATATGCCTCAGCATGACATTCTTAGTCTTTTAATTTAAATTTTCAGTATTTTGTTCATCATGGATTTTTGGGGATTAATTTTGATTTTTAAAAATATTGTATTGAAATATTCTTTATCTTTTTAAAAAATATATATCTTTATTGATTTCAGAGAGAGGAAAGGAGAGGGAGAGAGACATAGAAACATCAATGATGAGAGAGTCATTGATTGGCTGCCTCTTGCAAGCCCCCAATTGGGGATCGGCCCACAACCCGGGCATGTGCCCTGATCGGGAATCGAACCCCGATCGCCTGGATCCTAGGTCGACGCTCAACTGCTGAGCCACGCCCGGCTGGGCGAAATATTCTTTATCTTGACTACTGAGTTTCTGGGAACCCCCTTCACTCACCTCACCTTAGTCCCAGCCCTGCATAGGATTATTTAACCCATTTTCTGGACCTTAGTTTCACAAATGTAAGATGAAGGGATTGGGTTAAACCAGAGTTTCTCAATGGAGGGAATGAAGGAGAAAGAGGTTAGGCCCCTTTTAGGGGTATATCAGAATTTTCAAAGGGAATGTGTAGTTCAAAAAAGTTTATTTTATAATTTTATATGTGGAAGATAAAAAAACAGCTCTTGAAATTTCAAAAAATATTTAAGAAAGGCATGAGATCTTAATTTTTGTCCAAAAAATGAGACATAAACTTAAGAAGTCTGAGAAATACTAAATGTTTAAGATTTTACTTCTGGTAGGTACCCAGTAAGTGTTTGCTGAAAGAAATGTAGCTGGTCCAAGTCTCATTGCTTTAACTGGACTAAATATTGAGTTGTAACAATTTTCAAAAGTAAACCTCTCTATGGGGAGGGAGTGGGAATGGGAAGAAAGGCGTCAAGGGGGGGGAGGGGGCCATCTGTAATACTTTCAAGAATAAATATAGTCCGGCCAGGCGTGGCTCAGAGGTTGAGCATCGACCTAGGATCCAGGAGATTACAGTTGGATTCCCGGTCAAGGCACATGCCCAGGTTGCAGGCTCCATCCCCAGTGGGGGTGTGCGCAGGAGGCAGCTGACCAATGACTCTCTCATCACTGATGTTTCTCTCTCTCTCCCTCTCCCTTCCTCGCTCTGAAATCAATAAAGACACATTAAAAATAAATAAATATAAATTAAAAAAAAATAAAATAAACCTCTCTAATTCCTTAGCTGATAGTTCACTAAATCTGAGCAGTGGTGGATTTAGGGGCATTGCAGCTCAACAGAAGGTGGCGGTAAGGTGTCCTGTGTTTACCCTGATCCTGACATGCAGCCGTACTGTCAGGGTTAGTTGAACTTCCTGGGCAGTCAAATCAAATTGGTGATGTCTTGCCGCCCTGATATACTGATGGAGTCAGTTCGGACAGACTAATCCTTTCCCTCCTTCCTTCTCTGTCTGTCTTGTGGCCAGGATTGCATTTCTCTAGTACTTACCTTGTGGACAGAGGTCACCAGTCCATGTGTGGTCCTTGTCTCACTGAGTATTCCCTCCACTTAGGCTCTGCGCAGGAACCCCACGATGAGATTCCAAGCACCCATCCCACTCCCAAAGGCCATGGGACCATTCCCTGAGATATTGGATCCAGGGCTGCCCTTCCTTAGGGCAATGGCATGGCTCTAAAACCAGATCTTGAACTACATATTCCATAGAACACCTATTGTGTATCTATAATAGGGCAAGGCATTGTGCTGACAGATTGCAGGGAAAGGCCATCTTGCCCAAGAGTAACTTTCTCCTCTAATTAAAAGAGTAACAAAAAGTATATCCTTAAGGGGAGTAGGTTGGTGGTGAGCAATATTCTCAGCAATACAACCAAATAATGATATTAGCATGTTCTGGCAGCAGTTTACAACCCTAACTTGTGAGAAGCCACTTCTTACAAAAACTTCTCTTCATCTGTACCTAGTGGCCACTTCCCCAGTCCTTACAGGGGATAGAAGAGATGATGCCCACGTGGAGCAAATGGCGTTCTCCCCACCTGCTAGGGATACTGTTGAGGAAGTTGCCTGGCTGCTGGTTCTGTGCCGGTGCAGATGCACCACAAAAGAGGAAGGGGAGAACCAGAGCTAGGAGATGCTTGGGTGTCCTGGCCATTGCATGCAACTCAATCTACAATAGTTAAGACACTTTATTGGCCATGGAACCCAGCCCCTTCCTGGCACCGGGCTCTAGTTCCCCAGGCTCGGAGGAACAGATACCCCAGACCAGGTGGCGGTGCGGTGTCGGAGTCCTCTCCGGGCAGTGCCGACGGGGCTCTGCCTACACACTCCCCTCCTCTCTCCTCCTTTAACACCCTGCCCGGAGCGAGTCGGGTAGGCACAGAGGACACTCACCGGCTCCGAGCAGCAGCAGCGGCGGCGGCAGCAGCAGCAGTGGCAGGACGACAGACAGCGCCAGTAGCGGGTTCGCAGGGCGCGCCATGGTGAGGTGCGCACGGTGGTGCTCGCCCGGGGCGCTCTGCCCGCGCCGGCGCCGCGCTCCCCTCACTCCGGGCTCCCGAGCTCTCGCCGCGGGGGGCCTCTTGCCGGCGCCTCCCACAGTTTCCTCCCGCCCCTCCCCGAGCGCAAGGCGCCAACTCTCCCACTAGGGTCCTGGGCGCCGCCCTCCAACTTCGAAGCTGGCAAACGCGTGGCTTCTTCTACTGGACGGAAAGCGCCGGGGTGGGGGCGCAGGAGGGCTAGTGCCCTGGGAGCGAGAGGGGCGTGAACGACCATGCTCCACCTGAGCCCGCCCACCTGCGGTCGGCTCCTGGCTGAGATATTGGAGAAGCTACCGCTGGAGACCCACCATCTGGGGGGCGGGGGGTTTCCAATGTCTTTCCAAAAAGCACTCTTTCTCACCCCCACCCCACTACCACCAAGGAACAACCATCACAAATGAAATCTTGTAACAAAACTTGAACAAACCAGCACCAGGGCACTTGCATTTCCAGTATATTTTTTCTTAAAATTTGCACATCTATGATTTCATTTTTCTCTCGTATCTTCAAGGGTAAGATTCAGTCATTGTCTTTAACCCCAAGATCCTGCAAAGATGGGTCCCCGACAGCTGGAAGCAGATCTGGTGCCAGATCCCAGGACCTTCGCCAGACTAGACTCCTTCAGCCCCTTCAGCTGTTAAACCTCTTAGAGTAAGTAGCAGAGACAAGATCGCTGAGGATGGTGGCTGGAGAGAACATTTAGGAGCCTCACCACTTTCAGATGACGTTTCAGAGAGCAAGCTACTCTCCCAAGATTAAACAGCTAGGTAGAAACACAGCTGTGTCCAGAGCCCAGGATTTCTATCCATAAAGGCAACGTACTTATTGGCCTAGGGCCGATTCCCACCTGCTCGCAAGGTAAATATAGAGGCAGAAGGACCAACTAAGCAGTGCTTAGGAAAAGAGAAAAAGAGGGTGATGAAAGGAAGTAGAGGGTTTCATACGCTAACCCTCCAACCAAGCCCTCTTCTTACTTCCATAGCCGGCCTGGCAGAGGGCCAGGAGGGAGGGTATTGAGAAGTGCAATATAAACCTCTGAGATTTATTGGCTGCTGCTTCTGAATATGGCCATCCTGCTGTGGCCTCTGGGGGGCTTTTGCCAATGTAATCAGCCCAGAAAGAGAGTCATTCCAGCCAGGGGTGTAAATCACCCTTCACAAAGCTAGGAGAGACATGTGGCCCTAGATAAGGAAAGAGACTGATGAGGCCTCTTGTGCCCTTTCCTCTCTTCTCCTGCCCAGGGGGAGCTGGTTCCTGAGCTGTAATGCACTTTAAGTGGAGTTTGTGCTTCTTTTTAATCTACATCTGCCCTGCCAGTTTTACAGGGAACTGTGAAAGTGAACATCTGGCTACTCAGCTTTTGCACAAGGCCTGTTTTCCCTCAGCTCCACCCTACATTGAATGTATCTTTCCCAAGCCCTCCCCTCCGGTAAGGTTAGAAAACCTATAGCTGGGGAGCTTATTATAGCCCCCCTTTTCCACCCCACTCTGGTAACAATCTCTGAACAGAATTCACAAAGCCAAAGGTAACAATTTCAGGTGTTTGGGAAAAGGCTGACACCTACAAATTAACAAAGATGTGGTGTGGTCAAGGGGTGTCACCTCTGCTGTCCCTCTTCTTCAGCAGCAAAGCCAAAACAAGTTTGGGGTAGGTGGGTAGGTTGGGAAAAGGCATTTGCCCAGTGCCTACTGAAAGTGTCTACTAAATGCTATCCTCAAGGAACAGACAGGAAGGCAGCAACAAGGTCAAACTGATGGGCTAAGAGCAATACCCAGTTCTACCTCTAAGAGGCCAGGCTTTTTGTGAGAGTAAATGAGATGCCTGGAGCATGGGGGTGGAGAGCTTGACATCATTGGACCTTTAATGATGACTGATAATCAAAGCTAGGAAAGGGTTGAGGAAGCCTCTACAAATAAATATGACTCCAAGACTAATATTAACCGCTCTTCCAGCATACCCTCTCCCCAACAAACATGTCCTCTATGACTGCCAACACCTGCTAGATAAGGAGCATTGCCGCTGGGAATCTTGTGGATAGTGATAAATGAGCCAGTCCTTTCTACAAAGATGATGTTACTCAGCCATCATTCAATTCAATAATGTCTTTTGAGGCTGATTATGGGTCCAGCTTTGTGCCAGGTGCAAAAATGATTCAGACACAAACCCTGTCCTGGGAGAAACTGCAACCCACTGATTGGGACTCCAAGGTCCAAAGACCCCGTATCTTACTCCACTTTTTTTTTTTTAAATCCTCACCAGTGGATATTTTTTCCATTGCTTTTCAGAGAGTAGAAACGGGGGAGGGGGGGAGAAATAGCAATGTGAAAGAGACACATCAATTGGTTGCTTCCTGCATGGGATCGAGCCTGCAACCAAGGTATGTATGTGCCTGTGGCCAGAATCAAACCTGGGACCTTTCAGTCTGCAGGCTGACGCTCTAACCACTCAACCAAACCAGCCAGGGCTTTTACTCCACTTTCACTTGTAATATTGGTTCGGCTTTCTATCAAGTCCTCTCTCACTGATAAGCTTTAATTCCCGCTGCTACCCTAACCCAGGATATTAGCAATATAGTGAATAATAGTTAAGAGCACAAGCTTTACAGACTGCCTGGGTTCAAATGACATTTCCAACACATGCTGGGTGACTTGAGCATGTCACCTGATTTTTCTGTGCTTTAGTTTCTTCACCTGTAAAATTAGTAATAGTATCTACTTCGTATGTATAACAGTTGTGAGGATTAAATAGTATATATAGAGTAAAGGGTTTAGCATAATGCCTGACACATAGCAAGCACTGAATAAAGTGATATCATCCCAAGTGGCATGCCGGAATTATCTGTGAACTTAATCAGCCTCCACCATCTGACTTGCTACTTTGGAGCTAGAGACTACATATAGTTCTTCCTTTTGCCAAACATACTAGTAAGCCAGGGAAGGGAACAAAAAGAATCATTTTCTATCTTGTCAGTTTTTTGAGGGCCGGGACTGTGTCATATTTGAATATCTGTGGTACTCAGAATTGACAACCCCAGATGTATATGTTTAAAGGAACTGGTGTTTCCTTAATACTTGCCTGAAAGAGAATCCTATAAGCTTCCCATTTTATACTCCAGAGAAGGAAAGAGAAATGCTCCTTACTTTTTAAAAAATTTTTAAAATATGTTTTTACTGATTTCAGAGAAAGGGAGATGAAAACATTGATTGGCTGCCTCCTGTACGCCCCCTACTGGGGATAGAGCCCATAACCCAGGCATGTGCCCTGACAGGGAATTGAACCGGCTACCTCAGTGCATGAGTCGAAGCTCAACCAGAGCCACACCAGCCCGGCTGCTCCTCTCTTCCTTATGGCAGAGCTCAGCCAGGTCCTAGGTTGAGGCTGACAACCAGAAGCAGATTTTAGGCCAAAAAGTTTCCATGCTTTCTTACTTGACTTCATGATGAATGAATACTAGTTGTGCAAGGATACCAGTGCAGAGCTAATCCCCAAATAGCTTTGTCCTGAGGTCTGTGGGCTGGGGTCTCAGTGCCTACTCTTAGCCTCATCTTCCAAGCCCAAACAACCCTTATGGCCCTGACTTCTCAAGAACCTACAATTAAGGCTTATATATTTAACACACGATACAATACCAGCTCTAGAAAGGCACATTGTTCTTTGATGAGGATTTGGTAACAGCAAAGTCCATTAAGGGTACAGACTCTGGAACCATACTGAGTTCAAATCCCAACTCCACCATTCACTAGCTGTGTGACCTTAAAATAAGTTAATTTCTTTATTTCTAAAATGTGCATAATAATCAGTACCTGCCTCACAGAAATATTGTGAAAATTAAATTAGTTTATATATACACAAGTTCATAAAAAAATCTTGCACGCAATAAGTACCTGAAATGTGTTAGCTACTATTATTATTGTTCCTGAAAAGAACATGAATCAAATCACATGGTACCTATAGAGTAAGAGAATGTTACAAAAAATTATATGGAGCCCTGGCTGGTGTGGCTCAGTTGGTTGGGTGTTTTCCCATGCACTGAAAGGTCACTGGCTCAATTCCCAGTCAGGGCACATGCCTGGGTTGTGGGTTCGATCCCCAGTTGGGTCTCATGGAGGGGGCAGTAGATTCATATTTCATTCTCATGTGGATGTTTCTCTCTCTCACTCTCCCTCTCTAAAAATCAACAAAATAACTAAATACATAAAAATTAAAAACTATGTGGGAAAATGTTGCCTTCTAGGCAAACATAACTCTTCACAAAATAGATAACTAATTAAGCCCTGGTTTTTTGTTTTGCAACTCAGGATTTCCAGTTAAGATTACGAAAATGTGAACACATGTGTACCGGTCTCTTTGCAGGTGGGGGCTTGGTTCTATCTTTCTGGGGAGAATTATCAGGAAATGACCCACTAGGATAGGTAATGAGTCAGGGGCCCCTCCTCACAATTGAAAGTGGAAGTGCTTCAAGCAGTTTCCTCCTTGGGCTACTAAAAGTTCTTGCTTGGTGGGCTTAAGAGTGTGGGGGTGGGGCAGCAGGTTTTTTTCCCTCCTTTCCCCTTCAGGTCATCTAGCTGTGAGCTCAAGGGCTCAGGGAGACCAGGGATGTATTTTCCCTCTGGCCAGATAGGCATTTGCTAGGAGTGGAAGCTGCAGGCTCCAGTGGCTGGCTTAGAGAATACAGCAGTGCCCTCTGCTGTGAGGCATGCACGGCACACTCCAGGAGAACACTTGCAAACCTTGCAAAAATCAGTCCAGTCCTTCCTTCCACCCGCTTACTTTTAAAAAAAGTTTCCCTGCTCCAGAGCCTGGGAGCCTATCTCAGCCTAGGCTTCAGAGACCTTTGTGCTTTTTTAGTCCTGGGCTAGCACTACTACTAGGTTAATGCAGGAGAGTGACAATGTTTATAGTCAATTCCACTGCCACCCCAGGCCAAATAGGGCTGTATCTCATTAAGTAGACAAAAACGTCAGGTCTGGGGTTAGATTCCTGGTCAAGGGTATGTACCTGGGTTGAGGCAACCAATGGATGTGTCTCTCTCACATCAATGTCTGTCTGTTTGTCCCTCCCTCCCTTCCACTCTATCTAAAAGCAATGAAAAAATATCCTCAGGTGAGGATTAAAAAAAAAAAAAGAAAAGAATGAAGAATGCAGTTAAAAGGTCTTCTTTGCCCTGGCTGGGTAGCTCAGTTGGTGAGAGCATTGTCCCAATGTGTCAAGGTTGTGGATTTCCTTGGTCAGGGTACATACGAGAATCAACCAATGAATGCATAAAAAAGTGGAACAACAAATCGATGTTTCTCTCTGAAATCAATAAAATAAAAGGTCTTCTTTAAGTCTAACTGATCTTGCTTGGTACTTTATTTTCTCTTATTCCACAAATGAAAGAAATATAGCGCAAATCTCTACTTTCAACCACCTTAAAACTAAACTTTATTTGTGAGCTGTGGAGTGGAGAGTTTGGGAAATGGAAAAAGTCAAAACTCCATTGAGGCTGTACACAAGGAACCTTTAGAGCCAAAATGAACCTATCACTTGCTGTAGAGAATGCCACTCATCTGGTTTTCTGAGCCTAGATACCAGAGGGCCGAGTCTGGGACACACTTTCATTAACTCATACCATGGAAAAGTCTTTAGGAAAGGAAAGCCTGGAATACTGCTTAAGAATGCACTTTAAAGGGTTCCTAATTCCACAGCAGTGGATTTCAACTCTCGGCGTGCATCAGAATCACCTACAAGGGAGATTTTTAAAATTCAGATTTCTAGGACCTAACCTCAGAGGTTCTGATTTAGTAGGCGGGTCTGGAGTGGGGCCTGTAATTTTGTATTTCAAACAAGTTCAGATGATACTGATGGTCCAGGGTCCAAACTTTGAGAACCACTAGTCAATCTAGAGAAAAGCACTCTGGTCTAAGCTCTGAATTAGGGATGGTTATACCTTTATGTCTGAAGGAGTCTAATTTGGTGATCGCTTCCTCATATAAATCTTCTAGGAGCAGATTAAGTTCACAATCATATCTCTCATTCTACAATGTTTATTTTTCCATTTAAGAAAAAGATAAGAGAGGGAAACAAAGAAGGAAAATACAGAGAAAGAAGGTGGGCAACTCCTTTGCATAGCCAGAAGCTCAGAGGGAGAAAGAACTGGCTGGCTTGTGAGAAGAGACAAATAATTAGAAAGAGAATGCAAACACTCCCTGAAGCAACACACATGTCAGTACAACCCAAGGCTACACCTTATAGAGCCAGCTCCAGGACTTCACCATCAGCCAGCAGCTCTACTGAAATCTAACCAACGCCCAGGCCTAGTATTGCATCAGTTTGGCAGCCTGTTGTTTGCAGTTTAGCCACATAGAAGATATGGCCTCTTTCTGCCCAGGGTTTCTACAGTGTCTTTTGGTGACTCCTAGGCAGCCAGCAGCTGATCTATTATCATGGGTTCACATCCTTCACCAGTAAGGCAATCTGCTCCTGCAGTTGCCGCTCCCCTTCCCATGCTTTGCTCTGGCTTCGACACCTCAGCAGCTCCGCCTTATGGTCCTGGTGATGCATAGGGCAATAGCTCTGCGGTTCGCACAGCACCTGAAAGGTCAGGGACAGAGTAAAGGATCCTCTAGGTTCCTGAACTGTGCCTACCCAGCATAATAGAGAGGCTGCTAAGGACTAAAGAGCAGCAGTTTCTTCTCAGAGGGCCTTGCAGGCCCTGAGAGTTGCATGCTAAAGTTGGCTTCCCCAAGTCTGGGCTTGCTCCCCCATTGCCCACCCTTTACCATATATTCTGGAAAGAAGTCTCTGTAGCCCCCTTTGAGGATATACAGCTCTGGGTAGTACAATGCAGGATACTGGTTCAGGGCCCTGTCCTCTTCTCTCAGAGAGCGGCACCTTTATAGAAAACCCAGAGATAGGTGGGGTGAAAAGAAACAAGGTCAGGATTCCATGGGCCACTCAATGGGGAAGGGGAGAGAGAATAGACTATTGCTAACCCCATAAGGACTTCCAGATCTCATTATTTTTGCAAAATAAGGTCTAAGTAGCACCATTCTTTCTTTTCTTCACTGATGCCTAACTAATTCCCAATCCATTTTCCTTTAGAGCTCCAAACTTTTGAATTGTAGAAACCCCCTTCTTACACCTCCCTACCATTCTTTGAACTGTACAGAGCATTCACTCATTCAGTCTGCGAAGGTTCCCTGTGAGTCCCAACTCAAGCTCAATTTCCATTCCCTGCCCTACCCCTTATAGACACTCACATTCGAGGGCCCCTCTCTGAGGAGAATTCACAGTGGAACACAATGATTATTCTTTTCTGGGAATCCAAAGGGACAATAGGCATCTTCAGAAAGAAGTTATATAGTTCTTCCTGACTGTACAAGTTTAAGGCTCCCTGTAGAAAAATTTTAGTAAGTATTTCTTCAAGGGCCCATGGAGAGTGCCAACACTTAGAAATACTTGGGATACCATACCACCTTGGGAAATTTGGGCCAGGAAGGCTAGACTATAAACACTTTCAAAGAGACCTAATTGTATTTCTGTGTCTACCCCCAGGGCCTGGCATAGAGTTTGGTATGTAGTAGTTGCTCAATAAATGCTCATAGAACTAAAGTGCCTGCAGTGTAGGATCATTGTGAGGCATGTCTATGCGCAGTAAATGTTTGTAAAGTGATTCTCATTCCTTAGATTAATGCTTTCATTTCCATATAAGAGTCCTTGGCTCCTACATAAAAGAAAGAGATTGGTCTAGGAGGGAAGGGGAAAGTAAATTGCTCAAGGTATACAGAATTAGAATAGTAATGAAGACTTAGAGCTTTGACGTCCTCCACATATATATCTGCCCTGGTTCTAGAGTTCACAGGACCCTTTGTCCACATCTCCAACCTTTCCCCTGCTAATGTCCCCATGTAACCTCACCTGGATGTGTCCTCCCAGGTACTCATATGGATAACGGCAATCGATGATATAAAACTTCTCAATCAGACCCTGGAATTTCCCCAACAGTAAGGCAGCCACCTGCACAGAAATTATGACTGAACACCCTGCTCACTGTCCCTCTGAAGGAGAAAAGAGCCAGTCACACAGATTCTGATTTACACTCCCTTTAGTCACCCAGGATTCCACTGCATGCCCAGCCTCCAAAGTCCCCCTATTTTGAAATGTGGCAATGGTTCAGCCCCACCCCACATAAGAGGATGGAATAGGAAGTGGCCACTTTAGAGAACCAAAATAGCTGGTATTGCCAGGATACCAGGGAAAACCATACTGAAGCTACTCATCTTAAAGCAGGGAATCAGTCTCTCAGAAAACACACAAAGACTTCTGCAGAGGCACAGGTAGCAGCTGGAGATCCAGATTTGCAAAAAGAGATGGGAAATGGTACCCCACCCTCCAATATAAAGGAAGAAAGCAAGTCTTTTAGAGAAGAATATAGAAGAAAAAGTTTGACACCCAGAGGAGGGCACTTAAGTTGTAGGAGTATAAATTGGTTCAACCTTTCTAGAGGGAACTTTGTAAATACATATAAAAATAAATGTAATTACACTTTGACTCAGCAATTTCTTCTCTAACATCTTAAGTAAACAGAAAAGTACACAAAATGTGACACAATAATATTCATCTTAGCACTGTTTTAGGTTTCCAAATAAATATTCAATAATAGGGGTTTGGTTAAATAAATTACACGTCCGTATAAGAGAATATTATAGAGCCATTAAAAGGGTAACAGATCAAATCTTTTTTGATATAGAAAGATGTTTACAATGTCTTACTAAGCTAATTATAACACTACATGTTCCTCATAATCCTATTTTTATAAAGCATATGCCAGAGTAAAATTTGGAAGGCCATAGGAAAATATTACTAGTAGTTGTCTCTGGTGGCAAGATTATGAGTAGAGTGACCAAATTATTATTGCACAAACTGGGACACTTTTTAGAGTGAAAGAACAGTGTTAATAATCACCCTGTACTAGTAGGCATAAATGAAATTATAACATGTAAACCAGGATGTAAGGTCACTCAAATTTTTCCTTTTGGGTGTTTTTTTTCTTCTTTAATTTTCCTTTCTTTCCTTCCCTCCTTTTTTGCCTTCTTCCTTTCATAAAAATTATATATCATTTGTTTAATTAAGGTGACAGAAGAAGGGGATAAAAGTAAGTCCTTTAATACAGCTTCAGTTGCATAAGGAATCTGTTAGTGAACACGGTGAAAGAAATACAATTGGAAGTGGGGATTTTAGGGACAGAACACACCAGATGGTAGCTTATGTAACCAGTTACCATCTCCAGAAATCTGCTTACTGTTTCTGGGTTGATGTACTTCAGATCTTGGTGTCTCCCTGACACGGTTGGCAGCGCACATACCTAGAAATACCAAAGAGCTAAAATAACAGCAAGATTTCTATACACAAATTTGAGATCAAACACCCATATGTTGTCCTTTTTCCAAATGACCTTTAAACCTCCCGATGCCAGATGCCTTAAAAAAAAAATACAAAACACAATGGTCTCTATAATGTGCATTCCATTTCTAAAAACGACAGCAGTTCTATATCTAAGAACTGATCCTAAGAAACTAATTAAGAATGTGTATAAAGTATTAGATTTAGCTACAACTATGTTCATCTTGGTATATACTTCACAAGCAAAAATTATACAATATTCTAGAAGAAGAGATTTATCAAGAAATTATGGGTTGCCAAAAAAATAAAATACTGTGCATTTAAAAATGATAAAATGATGGAGCAGAACTCTTTATTGACATGAAAAAATGTTCCTGATTTAATAAATTAGGAAAAAGAACCCCAACAGATCACAAAACAGTATAAACAGTTTTTGTGGAAAACCAAAAAATGTATGTGTGTATGTACACATGTGTTTGTGAAAACACATAGAAAAAAGTCTGGAGGGATATACACCAAGATGTTAAAAGCACTCACACTCTGACTGATAAGATTTGGGGTAGACCACTGTTTCCTTGCTGATTTTCTGTCTGGAAGATCTATCTATTGATGTCAATGTGGTGTTAAAATCCCCTACTATGACTGTACTACTGTTAATCTCTCCCTCTATGTCCAACAAGATTTGCTTTACAGCCCAGCTGGGCCTGGCTCAGCGGTTGAGCATTGACCTAGGATCCAGGAGGTCACGGTCCGATTCCTGGTCAGGGCATATGCCCAGGTTGCAGGTTCGATCCCTGGTGGGGGGCATGAAGGAGGCAGCTGATCAATGACTCTCTCTCATCATTGATGTTTCTTTCTCTCTCCCACTCCCTTCCTCTCTCTGAAATCAATAGACATATTTTAAAAAAAGAAAAAGATTTGCTTTACATATTTAGGTGCTCCTATATTGGATACATAAATGTTTACAAGGATTATATCCTCTTGTTGGATTGCTCCCTTTATCATTATGTAGTGTCCTTTGTCTCTTAGTATAACTTTGTTTTATAGTCTATTTTGTCAGATATAAATATTGCTACCCCAGCTTTTTTTTTCCATTTCCATTTGCATGAAATATCTTTTTCCATCCTTTTACTTTTAGAGTATTATGCTAAGTGAAATAAGCCAGTCTAGAGAAAGACAAGTACCATATGATTTCACTTATATGTGGAATCTAATGAAAAACACAAACTAACAAACAAAATAGAAACAGACTCAGATACAGGGAACAGACTGACAGCTGTCAGAGGGAAGGGGAGGGGGTGCTGGGTGAAAAGGTGAAGGGATTAAACAAAAAACAAATAAAAAATTTAAAAACCTCATAGACACAGACAATACTATGGCGATTACCAGACAGAAAAGAGGTTGAGGGGATGCAGAAGAGGGTAAAGTGGGGATAAATGGTGATGGAAGGGGAATTGACTTGGGGTGGTGAACATACAATATAATATACAGTTACTGTATTATAGAATTGTATACCTGAAACCTATATAATTTTAACCAATGTCACCCCAATAAATTCAATAAAAAAATTAAAGAAAAAGAAGCCGCCCTAGCCAGTTTGGCTCAGTGATTAGAGCATAAGCCTGGGAACTAAAGAGTCCAGGGTTCGATTCCAGCCAAGGGCATGTACCTTGGTTGCAAGCTTGCTCCCTGGCCGTGGTTGGGGTGCATGTGGGAGGCAACCATTCAATGTGTCTCTCTCACATCAATGTTTCTCCCTCTCTTTCTCCCCCTCCCACTCTCTCTGAAAAACAATGGAAAGAATATCCTCGGGTAAGGATTAAAACAAAACAAAACAACAAAAACAAAAAAGAAAAGGAAAAAGAACCCTGGCGGACGTGGCTCAGTGGTTGAGCATCGATTCCCAGTCAGGGCACATGCCCAGATTTCGGGTTCAATTCCCAGTAGGGGGCGTGCAGGAGGCAGCTGATCAATGACTTTCTCTCATCATTGATGTTTCTATCCTTCCTTCTCCCTTCCTCTTTCTGAAATCAATAAAAATGTATTTAAAAAAAAATTAAGCCTGACCGGGTATGGCTCAGTGGTTAAGCGTCGGCCTAGGATCCAGGAGATCGGGGTTCGATTCCCGGTCAGGGCACATGCCTGGTTGTGGGCTTGATCAATGACTCTCCTCATTGATGTTTCTGTCTCTCTCTCTCCCTCTCCTTTCCTCTCTCTGAAATCAATAAAGATATATTTAAAAAAAAATTTAAAAAAAGAAAACGAAAAAGTTATAAAAACAAGACTAATTTAGTAACTAAAAAAGGGCAAAAAAACCTTTAATATTTCTTTTTTTTTTTTAAATCCTCACCTGAGGATATTTCAGAGTTGCTTTTCAGAGAGAACGAGAGAGAAGCATCAATGTGAGAGAGACACGTGATTGGTTGCCTCCTGCATGTGCCCCGACTGGGGATAAAGTCTCCAACCGAGGTACATTCCCTTGGCCGGAATGGAACCTGGGACCCTTCAGTCCGCAGGCCAACACTCTAACCATTGAGCAAAACCAGCTAGGGCAAAAAACTTTAATATTTCTAACCAATGTCATTAGCAGACTATGATTTTCAGATGTGAGTTCATTCTTTGTATCAACAGAATTCACTAGTGCCCTGGCAGGATCGCTAAGCTTAACCAAGGTTGCAGGTTCATCCTCAGTCAGGGCACGTGCAAGAAGCAATCAATGAATGCATAAATAAGCGGAGCAACAAATTGATGTTTTTCTCTCGCTTGCTCCTCCTTCCTTTTTCTCTCTAAAATTAATAAATAAATAAATAATAGTTTAAAGAGAGTAATCTGCTCAGAGCCTAACAAATTTCCTGTACCATGGCTTTTCTTAGGGGAAAACAAAAACAAAAAATGACAAAATGAGAATAAAACAAAAATAAGAACAAAATCTGAGCAACTAATTTGCTACATAGAGATAAATATGAGGGAAAAAAATGCCTCTAAGATTTTAAAAAATGTTTTGACATTTTTCTGTTTGGGATTTCTAAAGATCAATTAGTTCTTTGGTTGATTGGTAGCTTTGACTTTTGTATTGGGTAAAACAATACAGTACATGATACCTACATCACCTATTATAATATGACAGTAAAGTATTCCCACATTCAGAAGCTTAAAATTTACAGAAAATAAATTAACCTTCCATTTCATATGAACATAAAAATTTGTTAATTTGTACATTTTTCCAAAACTGTAACACATATAACTAATTAGTTGTTCTATTTCTAATGTTTATATTCAATAAAAGAAAGGAAGATGGTGATTTAGAGTAGCCTACAAGCCTGGCCGGCATGGCTCAGCAGATGAGCATTGACCTAGGGTCTAAGAGATTGAGGTTTGATTCCCAGTCAGAGCACATGCCTGAGTTGCAGGTTTGATCCCCAGTAGGGGGTGTGCAGTCAATGACTCTCTCATCATCCATGTGTCTATCTCTCTCTCCCTCTCCTTTCCTCTCTCTGAAATCAATAAAGATATATTTATAAAAAAAAGAGTAGCCTACATGACAAAAATGGAAATGTTTCATTAAGCTAAAGAAGTGGTAATAAAAGGGATGGCCTTCAAATGTCCCTTTTCATCTACTGAGATTAGTTTTGTGTGGCTAATGGAATAATGTTTGCTAGTAAACAATAACAACAACAAAAACAAGAACACAGATTCAAAGGGAGATCTTCTTAATAACTTGGTAGTTAAACAACTGAAAATGTTTGTTTGATTTGTTTTGAAGAAACATATTTCTTAACTGCTATCTTGTGGTTTTGATTTGTTCATTCCAAATAAATAAAAGCTACTTTGTTTTTGGTGTCTGAAAAAAAAGAAAAAAGATATGGAGTAGATTTCATTTTCTACCTTTTCTGTAATGACCAAGTATTATTTATATAATTTAAACTTTTTAAAAATTGATTTGAGAAAGAGAGAGAGAGAGAGATGTCTATTTGTTGTTCCACTTAGTTGTGTGTTCACTGATTGCTTTTTGTATGTGTCTTGACAAGAGATTGAACCCACGGCCTTGGAGTATCGAGATGATGCTCTAATCAACTCAGCTACCTGGCCAGGGCCTAATGACCGAGTATTATTTATATAATTTTAAAATATATTTTTAAAATAAGTAAAAAGATAATAAGCCTCATAATTTCCCCACTGTTCTGGATTTTCCTAGAATGAATAGGAATACTTTCTCACTGGAAAGGCTTAGGCAGGGGTGGGGAACATTTTTCTGCCAAGGGCCGCTTGGATTTTTATAACATCATTTGTGGGTCATACAAAATTATCAACTTATAAATTAGCTATGGAAAAAGCTCCTAGATTTATTGAATTTTGAGTCCTGTCTGCAGCTGCCTTGGCAGGGCCAAACCAAATGATTACGGCCCACTGGCCAGACGTTCCCCACCCTTGGTTAGGATCTATATCCATCACTACAGACCTTCAGATTATCACAGTGTACTTGGTAAGAATGCATAATTATATCTAGTGTGCTCTAAACGCAGAGAAGAAAAGATTCAGACCCAAAATGACTCACTGAAATATAGAAACGGTGCACCCACACTCACCTTGGAGAAATCACCAGCCAGGTACCCGTGGTTAGAAGCTTCCTCCAGCATCTGAGTGGTATTAATGTCAGAGAGAAAGACTGTCTTCTTTAGACCTAAGCCCTGAAAATGACAAGATTCCCTATACCTTCAATTCTCATGTTAAAAGTTTAAAAAACGGGATGGAAGAAGTGGAGAATCATTAAAAAATTGCATATCCTTTGTTCTAATAATTCTACCTGTTTTCCTAAGGAAATAAAGATATTCACAAAAAATTTGACTATAAGGATGGATATTTTAGCATGTTTATGATAGAAAAAATTACTAATAAATTAAATGTTTAATAATGGTATTGGTTAAACAAATCATATACCAGATATTATAGATTACTATTATACAATGGAAAGTATGCTGTAGCCCAGGTGGGCGTAGCTCAGCGGTTGAGCATCAACCTAGGATCCAGGCGATTGGGGTTCGATTCCCGGTCAGGGCACATGCCCAGGCTGTGGGCTTGAGCCCCAGTCGGGGGCATGCAGGAGGCAGCCGATCAGTGATTTTCTCATCATTGATGTTTGTATCTCTCTCTCCCTCTCTTTTCCTCTCTCTGAAATCAATAAAGATATATTTTAAAAAAAAAATTTTTGGAAAAAAAAAAAGTATGCTGTAGATTAATTTCATTAACATGAAAGTAAGCTCATGATATCATTAAATAGGTTAGAAAAATACTTTGTAATACCACTTTAATAAAAGGAAAAAAATAGCATAGAAAAATTTCTGGAAGAACATACATCAAGTTTATGGACATTTGCAAGAACTTTTTTTATTTGCATTTTCTACACTATCATATACTTATCTTATAAAATAGCCAAATATATTTAGATTTTTTTTTTAAGGAAGGGTATTTTGTATACTGAGAAGTCATCACCATTTCCTCATGGCCTATACACTCCTCAGCACACAAAGGCCCACTACTGTCTGCACCACTCTATACCTCTTCTCAAGGTCATCAACAATCTTCATGTTGCCACATCTAACAGTCACTTCTTTACCCATATACCTTTCTGAACCTCACAGAGGCTTCTACTGAGTTGGCTAATCCCTTCTTCCTTGGTTTTAATGGCAAAACCCCCTAGTTTTTTAGTTTAGTTCTAATTTGGGAACCCTTATATTCAAAAGGGTGATGCTTCTACTTCTCTGTTGCTCCTTCTCAGTTTTTGTTGGGCCTCATCACCTATCGGATTTCCAATAGATGCTGCATTCATCAGGGTTAGGTCCTGGTCCTTTTTTGTTGCTGTTGTTAATTCTCACCAGAGGATATTTTTTCCATTGATTCCTCGGAGAGAGAAAGAGAAAGAAAGAGAGAGAGAGAGGGAGAGAGATGGAGGGAGATATCAACTGGTTGCCTCCAGCACGCACCCCGAACAGGGCTGGGATTGCGCCTGCAACCGAGGTATGTATGTGCCCCTGGCCGGAATCAAACCCAGAACCTTTCAGTCTGCGAGCCAATGCTCCAATCACTAAGCCAAACTGGCCAGGGCTCCACTGATTTTTAGAGAGAGTGGAAGGGAGGGAGAGAGGAGGAGAGCGAGCGAGAAAGAGAGAAACATCAATGTGAGAAAGACACATCGATTGATTGCCTCCTGCATGCGCCCCACATGCGTCCCCTGACTGGGGCAGGGTATTGCACCTGCAACCCAGGTATGTGCCTTTGACCAGAAATGGAACCCATGACCCTTCAGTGCAGGGTGGGGTGCGGGTGCTCTAGCCACTCAGCCACGCCACTAGGGCGGTCCTGGTCCTTTTTTTATCTCTTCACTCTTGCCATAGGTGATTTTTTTTCAACCAATAAATTTAAATTTCTCCTCTATGCTCTCAAATTTCTATTTCCAGTCAAGACCCCTGCTCTTACTTCCATATTCACTCAACAACTTTTTTTTTTTTTAATCTTTACTGATTTCAGAGAGGGAGAAGGAAAGAGAGAGTGGAATGACTCTCAATGATGAGTCATTGATCGGCTGCCTCCTGCATGCTCCCAACTGGAGATCAAGGCCGCAAACCAGGGATGTGCTCTGAAAGGGAATAGAACCCCGATCTCCTGGATCCTAGGTCGGTGTTCAACTGCTGAGCCATGCCCAGCTGGGCATCTGCTTAACAACTTTTGAGCACCTACTAGGTGACATAGCAGTGAATAGGAGAACAGAAGAGACAGACAAATAAATATACTCTATATTTGTATATAGTGATAAATGCATTAAGTAAAAAATAAAGATTAATAATATAGAAAAATATTAGGGTTGGAAAGGTTGTCAGGAAAGGCCACATGTGGAAAAATGAGGCTGAAATGACAGAGAAAATTATGTGTTGCCTAGGGGATGAACTAATGTTCCAGGCAGAAGGAACAACAAATGCAGAGATTCTGGTGAGAATGGCAAGATCAAGAATGGCCACATTTAATTTGGTACTATCAGCTCCAAAACTAATTGAAGTAATACTATAAAACAACTAGACCTAACAGACATCAATAGAACATTGTACCCAACAAGAAAAAAATATACATTCTTCTCAAATATACGTGGAACATTCTCCAGGATAGACCATATGCCAGGTCATTAAATAAGCCTCAATATACTTTTTGGTTTTTTTTTTAATATCTTCATTGATTTCAGAGAGAGGAAGGGAGAGGAAGAGAGAGAGATAGAAACATCAATGATGAGAGAGTCATTGATCGGCTGCCTCCTGCACGCACCTTACTGGGGGATCGAGCCTGCAACCCAGGTGTGTGCCCTGACCAGGAATCAAACCATGATCTCCTGGATCATAGGTCAATGCTCAACTGCTAAGCCACATCAGCCGGGTGCCTCAATACAATTTATTTATTTATTTATTTATTTATTTAAAATATATCTTTATTGATTTCAGAGAGAGGAGAGGAGAGGGAGAGAGAAATAGAAACATCAATGATGAGAGAGTCATTGACTGGTTGCAGCCCGCAACCCAGGCATGTGCCCTAACTGGGAATCGAACCCTGATCGCCTGGATCCTAGGTCAATGCTTAACCACTGAGCCACGCCCGGCCGGGCTCAATACAATTTAAAGTACTGAAATCAGACAAAATATGTTCTCTGCCACAATGGAATAATTAGCAATTAATAAGAGAAAAAAAAATCTGGAAAATTCACAAATATGTGGAAATTAAACAAACTACTAAATAATCAGTGGGTCAACAAAGATCACAATGGAAATTAAAAAATACTTTGAGATAAATGAAAATGAAGGCCCAACAAACCAAAACTTATGATATGCAGCTAAAACAGTGTCTAGATAAAAATGTATAGCTGTGAATAAATGCCTATAATAAAGAAGAAAGATCTCAAGTCAATGAGCTAAACTTCAACCAAAGAAAAAACGAAATCTAAAGCAAGCAGAAGGAAGGAAATAAGAAAGTTTAGAGCAAAACTTAAAGTAAGAACAGAAAAACAACAGAATCAAAAGTTGGTTCTTTGAAAAATCAACAAAATTGATAAACCTTTTAGCTATACTGACCAAGAAAAAAAGAGAGAAGACTCAAATTACTAAAATCAGAAATGAAAGAGAGGACATTACTACCAACCTTAAAGAAATAATAAAAGGACCATAAGGGAATACTATGAACAACTATATGCAAATAAATGAGAAAACTTAGATTACATGGGCAAATTCCTAAAAAGACAAAAAGTACTGAAACTGACTCAAGAAGAAACAGAAATTCTGACTATACCTACAAAAAAGTAAAGACATTGAATTAGTAATTTAAAAATTTCCAACAAAAAAAAGCCCAGGTCCAGATGGCTTTACTTGGTGAATTGTGCCTAACATTTAAAAATAAATAAATAAAAACTAATTCTACACAAAACCTTGCAGAAAATTGGTACTGATACCAATACCAAAGACGTTATAAGGTAAAGAAAATACTAAAGATCAGCCCTGGCCGGTGTGGCTCAGTTGGTTGAGCATCATGCCATGCACCGAGAGTTCATTTCTGGTTCCATGCCTGGGCCAGGGCACATGCCCCAGTTGTGGGCTTGATCCCCAGTAGAGGGCATGCAGGAGGGGGTCGATTGATGTCTCTCTCTCATCATGGGTGTTTCTCTCTTTCTTTCTCACTTCCTCTTTCTCTAAAGATCAATAAAAACATATTTAAAACAAAACAAAACATTAAAGATCAGTAATCTCTACCCTGGCTGGGTAGCTCAGTTGGTTAGAGTGTGGTCCCTCTATGCCAGAGTTGTGGGCTCGATCCCCAGACAGGGCACATGCAGGAGTGAATGAATGAATGAATGAATGGAATGACAAATCAATATCTGTCTGTCTCTCTCTCTCCCCCTTCCTCTCTCTCTAAAATCAATAAGTAAATTTTAAAAAACAGATACAAAAATTCCCAACAAAATTTTAGCAAATCAAATGCAAAAGTATATATAAAAATAATAAAATACCATTACAAAATAAGGTTATCACAGAAATGCAAGGTTGTTTTATCATTCAAAAATAAATGTATTCACCATATCAACACATTAAGAAAAGAAAAGTCATATGATTATCTTAACTTTGCTAACTGGCAACTTTGAGCCAAAACTCACCCATGGGGCCATCTACTTTTCCGCACTCGTGACCGGTCAGCAGCAAGTGTTTAAAATTACTTACACCCGGCTGGGCATGGCTCAGTGGTTGAGCATCGACTTAGGATCCAGATCATAGTTTGATTCCAGGTCAGGGCACATGCCCGTGGTGCGGGCTCGATCCCCAGTCGGGGGTGTGCAGGAGGCAGCCGATCCATGACAACTCTCTTATCATTGATGTTTCTCTCTCTCTCCCTTTCCCTTCCTCTCTCTGAAATCAATAAAGATATATTTTAAAATATATATATAAATAAATACATAAAATAAAATTACTTAAATTAATTTAAGTGCAGACAGGAGTTAACTCGTGACTGTGACTGGCCAGCAACATTTGGACATGGAAACATGTGTATACTCACAACTGGTCAGCAAGGTGTTAAGAGATGCAAAGTATTTGATAAAATCTAGTATCTGTTTCTGCTAAAATCTCTCAGCAAACTAGGAATAGAAGGAAACTTTCCTCAACCCCATAAGTGGCATCTCAAGAAACCTATAGCTGCCCTGGCCAGGTAGGTCAGTTGGTTATAGTGTCATCCCAATATGCCCAGGTTGCAAACTGAATTCCCAGTCAGGGCACATACAAAAATCAACCAATGGTCCGGCCAGAGTAGCTCAGTTAGCTGAGCGTTGTTCTGTGCACTGAAAGGTTGCTGGTTCAGTTCCCAGCACATACTTGGGTTTCGGGTTTGATCCCCGGTTGGGGCACATACAGAAGGCAACTGATCAATGTTTCTCTCTCACATCGATGTTTATGTCTGTCTCTCTTCCTCTCTCTAAGTATGTCCTCAGGTGAGGATTAAAAAAAAAGAAGAGTCCCATAGTGACTTGACACTCTATCAGTCAGATGCCATTAGAGTGTAGAGACCATGTCTTCTTGATCTCTGCAGACCTACCACTTTGTACAGTGACTGCAACATATTAGATATGCAGAATTGTTCATTTAAGAATGAAGGAATGAAAAAATGCAAAGATATCATCAGAGAGCACTTTACCTTGGCTTCTTCTTCATCTTCCAGGGAAAACTCCATCAATTCATCTGAAATCTCCTCTGCCTGGTCTTTTCCTAGTTTGGGATTTTTATCCAATTTTGGAACTGTAGTGATGGGACTGTCCAGACATTTCATTTCACTTTCTACCAAGTTTCCATTGTTCTGCCAAGTATATTGACAATATTATAAGTTATTCAGGACAGTTACCTTACATCATATAAAAATATTAACTCAAAATGAATCAAAGACCTAAACTAAAAGAGCTAAAATTTAACTTTTTTTTAGTTAACCCTCACCCAAGGATATATTTTCCATTGACTTTTTTTAGAAAGAGTGGAAAGGAGGGAGGGAGGGGGAGAAAGAGATAGAGAAACATCGATGTGACAGAGACACATTGATTGGTTACCTCCTGCATGCCTCCACTATGTGCCCTGACCATGGGCAGGGATAAGACGAGCAACCCAGGTATATGCCCTTGATGGGAAGTCAAACCTGAGACTCTACAGTGCACAGGCCGACCCTCTAACCACTAAGCCATGCCAGCCAGGGCACTAATAATTAGTTTTATAAAACATTTTACCTATCTAATTGGCAATTTGGAAGAAAAAACCCCCAGCAAATAATTTATCCACATGGGCTAATGGATTGCTCATAAAAACGTGAACTCTTGCCCAGCCAGTGTGGCTCAGTGGTTGAGCACTGGCCTATGATCCAGGAGATCAAGGTTCAATTCCTGGTCAGGGCACAGCCCTGGTTTCCTGTTCGATCCCTAGCAGGGAGCATGCAGGAGACAGCCGATCAATAACTCTCCCTGATCATTGATGTTTCTCTCTCTCTCGCCCTCTCCCTTCCTCTCTCTAAAATCAATAAAAACATATTTTTAAAAAAGTAAACTCATAACTTTTTTTAAAGGAATTTGGCAATATGTATCAAAAATCTTTAAAATATTTATACCCTTTAATGCAGTGATTATAATTCTTGGTACTAAGCTTAAAGAAAAAAATCTGAAATGTAGGCAAAAATTTATTCTCAACAACTTACAGGATATGCATTATTTATAAAAGCAAAATTTGGATACCATTAAGGGTCCAATAGGGAAGTACATATATAAATTATGATCCATTTATTAGAATAAAAACATCCATTAAAAATTAATGTTTTTAGCTCTGGCCAGGTAGCTCAGTTGGTCATCCCGTACACCGGAAGGTTTCGAGTTGATTCCCAGTTAGGGCACAAACCTAGGTCACAGGTTTGGTCCCCAGTTGGGGCAGGTACGGGAGGAAACTGGTTGATGATTCTCTCATGATGTTTCTCTCTCACTTTCTCCCTTCCTTTATCTCTAAAATCAATAAACATATCCTCAGGTGAGGATTAAAAATAATAATAATAATAATAATAATAGCCCTGCCAGCATTGCTTAGCAGTTGAGCATCGACCTATGTTCCAGGAGATCAAGGTTCAACTCCGGGTCAGGGCATATGCCTGGGCTGCAGGCTCGATCCCCAGTGGGGGGCATGCAGGAGGCAGCCGATCAATGAATCTCTCATCATTGATGTTTCTATCTCTCTGAAATCAATAAAGATATATTTAAATATATACTTTTTATTGCCCTAGCCAGTTTGGTTCAGTGGTTAGAGAATTGGCCTGTGGACTGAAGGGTCCCAGTCTTAATACCAGTCAAGGAAGGGCACATACCTCAGCTATAGATGTGTCTCTCTCACACTGATGTTTCTCTCTGTCTCTCCCCTTCCCTTCCACTCTCTCTAAATATCAATGGAAAAAATATCCTTGGGTGAGGATTAACAACAACAAAAAATTAAAATATATTTTTGTTGATTTTTTTTTTTTAATCCTCACCCGAGGATATTTTTTCCATTGCTTTTTCAGATAGAGTAGAAAGGAGAAAGAGAAACATTGATGTGAGAAAAGCACATTGACTGGTTGCCTCCCGCACGAGCCTGCAACTGAGGTATGTGCTCTTGGCCAGAACCTAACCCAGGACCCTTCAGTCTACAGGCCAATGCTCTAACCACTGAGCCAAAGCAGCTAGGGCTGTTTTTATTGATTTTTTTAGAGAGGAAGGGAGAGGGAGAGAAACACTGATTGGCTGCCTCCTGCACGCTCCTTACAGGGGATGGAGCCTACAACCCGGGCATGTGCCCTGACTGGGAATCAAACCGGCAACCTCTTGGTACATGGGTTAACAGTCAACCACTGAGACACATGGGCTGGGCAGTAACAGATTTCTGTCCTTAAACCCAATCAACTGAACATGAGTATAATGATGACCTACTGTGCAAGACTTAGAGCTAGGTTTCTGTTCTAGGGTCAAATCTTAAAGAGAAAAAAACAAAAACAAACCATAAAGAATTTTTATTTTCTATATTGATGCTGTCTGTCTAGCATATTGAGGCATAACAAGCTCTAGGTCTCATGATACTGATGACTTACTCCACTCAAAGGAAGACAACTGCTTATGTAGCTAGGTTTCAATTAAACACTCACATTTTCTTTATTTGTGGATGAGCTACATATTGCATCTTTCTTCCTGTTGCCATGGTCCAAAGTCTTCGGAGTGCTACAAAGCAGCTGTGCCTACAAGAGATGGTTTTCTGAGAACATCCAGTAACCTCCAGCTACAGGTGAGCTGGAAACCCCGTCTTCCACATGAGAAAGAATCCCAAAACCAAGAAAAAGGAGCTACTCACTGGGCTGCATTTTATAAGATGCTGGTGATGATTCCTGCAGGTCCAAAAAAAAAAAAATTTCCAGTCAGTTTAGCCCCAAATACTGTTTGGTTATTCATCAGTGGCTGCAGGCATCCTAGCTTTTCTTTTTTGCATTCTAGGATCCCTATACATAGTTGATATGTCTCTTCCAATAACAATAGGTAGGGTGATCTCTGTGGTAAATACTAAGATGTTGAGTGACAATCTGGAGATAAGGCCCTTATTTTACTTGCATAACCATATGTATATATAGATATACATAAAAGATGATGAATTTGTCCTACATCTTATGTACACATAATTTATAAGTTACGGATTTTCCAGCACTGACTTTTGAGAGCTAATATTTATTTTTGTGTGCATTTCTATCACCCTGCCCAGGAGTTCATTTGGTCTACATGGGTTAGGGCATTTTAAGCAATTCAAAGAAAATACAAGCGATACAAAGTGAATTTTCACATGTATTGATAAAAATAGTCATGAAGAGCCTTCCCTATTGCACTAAAGTGGCACCTAACTCACCTAAACATCGAAGGATAAAGTTCTAAAAAGATTAAAACAGTCATATAGAAAACTCACAATAAGTTTAAGAAGTTGAATTAGAATTATTTTTCATTCCTTGAGTATTCCCTGACTGAACACTTTAAGATATCCAAAAGAGAATCTTCCTGAGTAATAATAATAAGTACTATAAAATGCTTTGGCAGGTGCTGTTAAGGATTAAGTGAAAATTTAATCTTTACAATAGCTGTTCATAAGAAGTGCTATTCTTATCTTCATTATCATTGTTTCATTATTATTAATAAAGAAACTGAGGTGCAGTGAAGTTAAGAAACTTGTTAGAGTCACAGTTGGTAGAATCCAGTCACTCTGATTCTAGAGCCTATAGCAGGCACTTTTAAGTACTAAGATAGTCACATGCAGGTAATAGCCTATGTCTAAGTGAAGGATACCATTTTCCTCCATTTTTAAAGATAATACTTGATTGTGTGTGATGGTTAAAATAAATAGCCTTCATTTTCACAACATTCTGGGAAACTTAAAAACCTTTCAAGGAAAGGATCTAGGCCTCCAAAGTGAAATGTTCTATACTCTGCAGTTTGCATAGGATAAAATCCCTATGTGCCATTGCTGAAAGGCTTTAGCATGAGGTTCATTTAGCAAAAGAATTTACCTCTGAGCTAACTGTATTTCCTGAGGTCCTGAAGAATCCAAAGGACCTGCAATTAGATATGAAATTATTCTTGTCCATGCATCCTGTTTTTCCTCCTGATTTTCTTCATTAACAGTAAGCCATATTAATTTCAAAGCTGCCCTTCTGAACACAAAGGGTCTTGATAGGTACCAATTTCATGGTACAAGTTAATAGAATCTGAAGAATTTACATGTGTCACTGAAAGACAAACTGCTGGGAAACAATGCACTAAGTTACAAAGATTTTTTTCATGAATAGAAAAGAATGCTTATCACTCAGGTAATCTGAAATTAGAACAAATACTAAAATGGTTGACTAGTAAAACACATTCCTTTAGGGCTCAGACCCTATAAAAACAAGAATTAGCTGACAAAGTATTTATTTATGTTGGGTTTTTTGCCTCTGCTGATATTAGACTAGGTCATAAAACTTCTTATCTTAATTACTACTTTCACTTCCATCATTCAGTGAGTTTCAATTCATATAATCAATCAGCCAACAAAATATTCCTTCCTGCCTAAAATTTTCAAATGCAAAGTGACTCCTATTAATGTTATTATTTTTCTCTTCCCATTGGCTTGATCATTCCCTCAAAAATCCTATAGGTACCGACAGAATTCCAACTTCAAGGCTCTCTACCTACTTTTACCACGTTCCATACCTATCTTACTACCCTGACCTCTCCCTTAAAAGTTAGTCTTTCCCTTGAAGCCTTTATCACCCTTCTCCCTACCAGTTCCATCAGCATCTGCAGGAGTGGTAAGCTGAGTGGCAGATATCTCCCCACTAAGATTCGAAAGATCAAGGCAACATTTTGGGGTTCCTCTGTTGAGACATAATAGTACACCAATATTCACTTTAGGATGTAATATCCTTAAAAGGCAAAGATCACGCTATCCTCAATTTGAAACACCCCTCAATGATTATGACATAATCTGAACAGTGCCCAAATAAATCAAATTGCTTTGGAAATATCTCAGACTAGGCTGAGGAAAACCTTCCCCCTTTTCTCTACTCCAAAAATCTGTACCTAATTTTCTCCTCACCAACATACTGAGACATTATTTTTTTTTAAATTGAGGTCCAAAGTTTATTGACTGACGTGGGTCTTGACCCCACATCTTCTGCCCTATACACCATAAGCACACAGATTTGATTTCTCCCTGGAGTCTCTAGTACTTCTCAAGTCTATAACTCTTCAACTTTGCTAGCTGAGGCATTAGAGCATTAGAGCATGGCATCAAAATTTAAAGTACAATAACACTAATATTAATACTAATAAAGTGACCAACTCATATAACGCAATAGAGTTTTCAAAGACTTTCCCCAGACATCACATCATTTAATTCTCACAAGATCCTAGTAAGATAGGAAGAGGTTATTCCTATGTCACAAAAAAGAACAGGGAAAGTCAAAAGGGTCACACAGTCAAGGGCTAAGATTTGCACTCAGGTCTTTGAGCCAGGATAATTTTTTTAAAAACTCAAAAACACTTGTTTAGAAAAGCAAGGTAGATAAGGTGTGAAAAGTGGATTTACCCAGACAAAATGCTTAGGTTTGCAGAATCACCAAAGAGTTTGTCCACTGGAGTTCTAGGGAGATCTGGACAGATGGTGAAGGAAGCATCTCTCTCCAGGAGCAAGTTTAGTATCTTCCTCTGATGGGACCTAAAACTGGGTCCTGTGCCAGGACTTCCTTCCTCTCTTGTGGATGAAATGAGTTCTGCAGACATAGTCTCCGGGTACTCACTAAGAAATAAATAAAACCTAGCTAAGAGGAGAACGTCATCTATACAGGCACATCGCAGATGGTCCAGCTTTCACAACCTCCTCCACCCTTCCCAGCAGTGGCCAAGTGGATCTTAATGGAGGATGGGCACCCCAAACGGTGACTCGCAGCTTGGCTTGGAGGTTAAATTGCACTTGCTCGAAGCGGCCTAGCCTTTTGGTCGGAACCTGAACTTACCGAGAGGAAACCCCAGGACTTTAAAGCGGAAATAAAAAGAAGGCTTTGACTAGTTCCAGGCCACAGCTCGTGACTCCTGACCTGAAGGAACTCAGGTCTCCTAACTCGTGACAATACCTTAGGTCCCCTGAATTTCCGTTTGTGGGGCTCTGATTCCGGCGGAGACGGCTCCGGTCTTACCTCAGGTTTGAGTTTGAGATTTACCTTCAGGAGAAAGGGAAGTGGGAGTCAGTCACAAGTGAAGACTTGAGGAGAATTAAAGGAAATCCGCGGAAAGGAGGCAGTTAACAAGACTACACTTTTGTTTCTCGACTGGATAGGCCGGTATCAGGCTTTGCAGCTTTTCTCCTCAGGAGGTCGAAGTTACGGCCCGGCAGCCGGGGAGCAGAAATATCAACAGCTACAGGCCTTGACCATTCAAACCTTCCGCCCTCCCAATAACCTATCCCGCTCGCCTCTAAGCTGCGTTAGCCAATCTCCGCGCGCCCGCCCAGAACCCTCTAAGCCAATCGTTTGGCTTGTACATCGCCCGGGGGCGTGAGTTTGAGCAGAAGGAGCACAACTTGCCCCGCCCCGCAGCCAGAGCAGGGTGCCGATTGGCCCATCAGCGTTTGGCAAGCCGCTTAGTAAACCCCGCCCCACACGAGCCTGGCGCACCATTGGCTTTACCTGTGGCCAATCGCCTCACCCTTCCTGAGCTTTCCCTTCGCTCAGCCCCTCAGACCCCGGGAGATTTAAATTGCACCACCCTGGCCAGGTCCACTTGTTAGGTTAATACCTGGAAGAATTAGTTTGGATAGGAGGGTGTTTTAGACGTTTCTTTTTCTTGCTTCTTTCTCGTGTATTATACGGACTTTCCGCTTAGTTTGCTAGGCTTCCGCTGGAGATGGAGCATTTGCTGCGGGCGTAGCAGACGATGTGGAGAGGCAGGTGTGTGTATTTATGCTACGCGGCATTGGCGCCTTTCAAGAGCTTTCCTAGTAAGAAAGATCTCCCTTTTAGCGCGCAGCATCTCTAAGACGCTAGGTTACGTGAGTATAGGAAGTTCCATGTCAGGGAAGGCAGGGGAGTTGAATTATCTCTTGGCATAATTCTCATCACAACCCAAAGGTTCTCAAAATCTGGTTGTTTATGGAAATTTGAACATTAATTAGGTGATATTAAGAATTTTTTCTTAATTTAGGGGACTTGCTTTTAAATAATGCTGTGGGACTGGTGGTGGGTATAGATGAAACAAGATTGGCCATGAGTATTGGGTGATGGGGTAGCTGGGATGCCATTATATCTGTGTTCTCAAATTTTAATCTGCATTCTAATCACCTGGAGATCTTGTTGAAATGCAGATTCTGATTCAGTAGGTCTAGGTTGAGGCCCAAGATTCTTTACTTCTAAGAAGCTCCCAGCTGATGCTGATATAGCTGGTACAGGGACCATACTCTGAGTAGGAAAGCATTATGCTATTCTCTTTACTTCCCTGTATATTTGAACTTTTCCATAATAAAAAAATGCTTAAAATAACCATGGAAGCTTTTTAAAATACAGACCCCCCAAAATGATGATAATAGGTCTAGAATGGGGCCCAGTAATGATCAAGTTCCCTAGGTGCTATCCATGCAGATGGTTTGCAGACTGTATTTTGAGCAACAAATCATAAATGCAACCTTTATCTTTGAAAAACAGTAAATCAGAAATGCAACCTTTATCTGGTGTCAAGATCTTGGTGATAGTAGTGGCTGAGAGATGCAGTGTAGTCAGTGGGGCACTGTCCTAATACCCCTTTCATCTGTAGAATTTGCTTCCCCAGAAAGGAGCTGTGTGAAGAGTCTTTGCCCTGTAAGATAGAGATGGTGAGTGTGGGAGTCAGCACAGAGCCCTGCCATGCCAGGTGAGTTTGAAAATCAGGCTGGGGATTAAGGGAGTGTGGGATGAGTTGTTTTCTGCTTTGATAACTATAATCACACTTCAAGTGGCCACTATATACTTCCCCGCAGGTGGGAGGTAGAGACAGATGAAATTGTCCTGCAGCGGCGGCAAAAGCAGATAGATTATGGCAAGCGCACACCTGGTTACCAGTGCTTTCTGCAGCAGGTCCCCAAGTGAGTGCAGTTGTGGGTAGTCACAACAAAAGTCTCAGTCAAGTGGCTTTAGTTCAATGTCAGGTGATAAAAATATACTAGAATCTCAGTGCTCTCACAAACCTGTGGAATTACTAAAACAAATTCTCCTGCAATCTAACCCCAAGGTTAAGTTTCCAAGATTTTTTTCAAGTGGAACAAGACTTACTTAGCCCATAAGACTTTTTTTAAGCCTATCTCTCTTTTTTTTTTAAACAAAACAAAACAAAAACCCTATCCATGTTTGCTAATGAAGTTTTTTCTTTCCAACCATTTTTACCTCATGCCTCCAGCTGACTTGGCTACCTGCAACATATTTGCCTAATTACATGTAAGTTTACATATATACATACAGACTAAAGGTATGAAAAGGTAGAATGTATTTGAAAAGGATGCCAAATACTGTCTTTTATATCTATCTTGACTTCTGAGGGAATTGGAATATCTAATTTACCCTTGTCAGAAGAAAGAATATTGGGGAAGTGTGATGTTTAATCTAATTTGAAGATTTATTTTTTCTGTTGGATTGAGGGCATTGATCATACCTTATTCTCAGAGAATCCCTAACAAATCTCCTGATTCACTGTGATAAGCAGTGAGCTGTGCCACCTTCACCTTGACCTCAGTCTGACTTATATTTGTTGTTGCCAGGGCACAACGACAGCCAGGACTTCATCCTCAAACACCAAACAAAAACAGAAGGTACAGCCGCCGCTCCTGGGATGCCCAGATCAGGCAGTGGAGAAAAGCCCTACATTCCTGGGACCCCCCCAGCCAGCCTCTGCAGGGCAGGAGGGCTGAGGAGTATGTGCACTATTCTTGATTCCTTTCTTGAATGGTGGATTGAGCCCTACCTTCCCATTTTTCAAGGATTTAAATTTCAATGGCTGAAAAGGGTGTCAGAATGAGGTGTGTGTTCCTTTGACTCTGCTGCCTTCCTAGGCAAGGAATGGAGAACCTCTTAGAACCAATGGATTCCACCCCTTTGGATGACCTCCTGGATGACTGGCTCCAGCCGCTGGAACCCTAAGAGAATCTGGATGGAGACCAGAAGGGAGCCCAGGTAGTATCCTCTGCTGAAACCCACTGGAACAGGGTCAGAGATGGGGTCTGGTCCATGAGGTCACAATGAAGATGGGGTTCAAGTGGTACTTCAAGAAAAAAAGAAGGAAAATGGGGCACCAGGAAAAAAATACCATGACATGAGTAAACTAAATTGAACTAAAAGTAGCATAAGGATATTTAATTATAGTTTGTAATGGGGGGAGTTGGGCTGCACTGGAGGATATTTTATACTTGATGAGAGGTGTAATCTTCTTTTGAAGTGAAGCTTGAAACCTGACTTGCAGGGTTTGTTATTTTTTTAACTCAATTTCTTTCAATGTTTTGCAAATGAGCCAATGCCAACTTAACTTCTTATACTCAATCATTTAACTTTGGTAAGCGTGGTTAATAAGAAAAAGGGGGATCATCTAGTGGTGAAGACAAAGGGTTTTAGAGCCTCAGACTGCTTTTTAAAAAAATATGTCTTTATTGATTTCAGAGGAACGGAAAGGGAGAGAGAGAGATAGAAATATCAATGACGAGTCACTGATCCAGTGCCTCCTGCACGTCCCCTACTGGCGATCAAGACCGAAACCAGGCATGTGCCCTGATGGGGAATCAACCACTGAGCCACACCTGGCTGGGCCAGACTGCTTTTTTAAATACTACCTTTGTCTATTACATGGAAACTCACTTAACCTCTCCAGCCATTTCATCTACCAAATAAAGAGCTTTTTTCCCATCTGATGACTGTAAACAAAAATGGGAATACATATCTAAAGCATGTAGCATGGTGCCTGGCACATAATAAGTGCTCCACAACAGCAATTATTGGAAACCATGTCTCCTGTAACTTCATGGCCCATGCCAGTTATTTTGCCAGGGAGAAATGTGCAGGGCAAGGAAATATGAAGTGCATCTTCCCTTCACCCCATTTTCTTGTTAAGTACCTAACTTTCCCTCTACTTTTCTTTTTCATTTTGCAGACTGGGTGGCTCCTGACTGCTCTCTTCCCAGGCTCTGTGAAGATGCTTACCACTGGTTCTGCTTTCTAACTGATCACAGTTACTTATCTGTCCCAGACTTGGGTGGGGTACAAAATATTTAGGGTAAACAGGTATCTTTCAGGAGACTTGTTGCTAAGTGTAGTAGTGAGGATTTACTTGCATGACTGTTACTTTCCCATCGATTAAAAAAGAAATCTGAAATTCTGCCCTACAAAGAGATCACAACACAATGGCATTGTTTAAAACCTCTCCTTTTCCAATGTTTTGCCTGTCTGTCTAAACCTTCTTTGACAGATGAGACTCAAATTTACATAAGAACCAGAAACCATCTCGCTGTTTCCCAACCTCTTCACCTACATTCATTCTCTTCAAAAAGGACTTAAACTTTGGCTGAGGTGGGAGGTGGTGGCAGTGGTGGATATTTAATAAAAGGTGGCTTACTCTACCTAAAGCGGAAATATAGCACCATCAACATCTTTTACCCATCTGCTTTTTTCCTCCCTCCCAGTCTTAAGGAAAGTGGTCCAGCTGTAACCACCGTACTCCCCCCCGCCACCCCCACGCGAGCTACTGAACCGCCTATGATGTCATAATCACAATCCCATTACCTCATCCTATTGGGGGGGGCGGTGCGTAGAGGGAGGAGAAGGAGTGAACAGCCCTGGGCCCTCCTCAGCTTTACAAAGTGTTTTGGGTGAGGGCTAATTACAGAACCAAACAGGAACAGCACCCCAACTGTTTTAAGTCCCGGATTTATAAGGTTCGAGCCGATCCGGCCGCTGGAAGAGGGGCTCCTGGGACTTGGAGCAGGCCCTAATCGGCTCTTGGACTACACTTCCCAGAAGCCTTCACGCCGCGGACGGGTCCTCTGCTGGGGGAGGGGGGATTCCTTCAGAGAGGCAGCGGTAGAAGGTGGGACCAGAGAGCAGGTGAGAGGGACCTTGGCTAATTCTTTTAAGCGGTCCAAACCGATTAGAAGGCTATACTTGGGCCTTTGTAGAACTGGAGGGCAGGAGCGATGGCTTTGTTTACCTTCGTCTGACACGGCTTCCCCCGCGGCTTTCGCGATATGCCTCCAACTGGGCCTGTCCACCTTCTGCGATATTTTGGAGGGGGTGCCTCAATAGTGAGGAAACCGCCCTCATCCTTAAATCAAAGAACCGGGCTCCTTCCTGACAGCACTACCTAAGGAAGATTTTGAGAGAGAAACAACGTGGGTCTCGAACCTTCTCGG